GGGGGGCAGCAGTGACACACAGACATAAAAGCCATGCCGTGCCGGCCACAGCAGGTCTTTTCTCAAGGGAAAACGTGCCCAGGACGCTGGTTCGGACCCTAACAACTGAGGGGGACCGTTATTTTTCACGGCTTCACACGATGCCACTGGACCCCGCCACGCCACTCCACGCCACGTCCTGCACACTCTAGCAGAATTCTCTGCCTTGCAAAAGGTCCCAAATATCCATAGTGCACGAGACAGGGGTGAGGTGCCAAGAGAAGCCGCTGCATGGGTAGGAGCTGGGGCTCCAAAACAGCCCCTCCACTTCAACGTCCCTGGCAAGGCTGCCCGAGGTAGGACGTCTCCCTGGCCCCGAGAGGGCCTGAAACCCATCAGGAGCGCCCCACCTGGCTGAAGTCCAAGGGGGTCCCGCTCATCAGTTAAAGCGCCCCTACTCTGGAAAGGGCTCAGGCACCAGGGTGGAGACGTTTGCCGGGTCTGGTCCAAAGAACTTCACTCTCAACAAGAGGGAGGAGAGGGGGAGAGACAGAGACGGAGCAGGAGACAGACACCCCGGGTGCCTGAGAGGGGGTCACTGAGGAAGCCCCCAGGCAAGTCTGAGAGTACCAAGCTGCCCTGGGAGCGCAGACCCCTTGTGGCATGTTGGCCGGGCCAGGGGAGGACGCTGGTGGAAAGTGAGAGCGCTGACTGAGCATGGGCTGTGGTTAACAAAGTCGCATCAACGCTGGTCCAGCCACCATCACACATGTGGGACGGGAGTGCAAGGTGGCAGCAGGACAGACCGGTGGAGTGTGGGGGACCCCGGATGGATACGTGCTTGAGTTTTCTGTAAGCCTTCAAACTGTTCTAAACATTAAGCTGACTTTTAGCGGCACCTAGGTGGCTCAGTCGGTTACGTGTCCAGCTCTTGACTTCAGCTGAGGTCATGATCGCAAAGGATAGCATGGAGTCTGTTTGGGACTGTCTCTCTCCCTCTCTGCCCCTCCCCTACTCGCATGCATGTGCTCTCACACTCTCTCTCAAAATAAACTATTTAAAAAGTTAAAATTGAACTTAAACTTACTTTTAAGAACTTAAATAGATTCACCGCACAAAGTTCAGAAAATATAGCTAAATAATTTAAAAAATAAAAATTGTTTTGTTTTGTTTTTTTTTTGCTACCGAGAGCAACAAAATTTTGGATTTTCTTCTTGGAGTTGTGCCTACGCACATATGCGGGGGTCCCCACGTGTGATGCCGCACCGTCTCTTCCCCACTGCTGCAAGCATCTCCCCATTTCGCCCCAGAGCAGCCCCATGGCCGAGCGCCGTCCGGAACGGGAGCCAACGCCTACCGTGAGAGTGAGGTGTCCCCAGGGCAGGACCCGCCTGCTGCTTCCGAGAACTGGACGCAGAGAACACGGACTCTCTCCAGCATGGGCAAGTCCCTTGCTGGGAACCGCCACCAGGCCAGAGGTGGGCATGTTCTCCTCGGACAGGACACACAGCCGGGGCCTGTGTCCCCCTCAAGGAGCCCCTCTCTTCAGAAGCAGAAGCTGTGCTTGTGGCTGCTCCACCTTCCTCCCTGCTGTGAATCCCCTGCTCCCCGAACCCTGGACTCGTGTTCTGACTCAGGCCACCTCCTCTCCGAGATGCAGGGCAGTGGCGGAGACAGAAGAGCCACCTGAGGCTCACAGCTCGGCTCTGCTCTCTGTCTTGCCGGAACTCCCAAGTTTCCACTAACATGTGGCACAGCCTTCAAAGGTCTGCCCGCCAACAGGATCTCCTGCTATCCCCCCAGAGACCCTGGCGGGGCAGTGTGGTCATCAGAGGACAGATGACAGATCCCGCCTCCAGGGGGACCCCAATGAAAGGAAGTCGGGCCACCGTGCACCTGCGACACAGACCCCAGCTGAGGGCACAGCCCCTCACTCCTCGCGGGTGTTCACAGGCATCTCAGTACACAGCCAATTCCTGACTTCTTCCCCCAACGTGCTCTCCCCCCTCACCCCCTCCCTCGTGCAGAGGCGCTGACGCAGCGGCTCAGACCCCGGACACAGCAGGGCCCAGAGCCGGGACGCTCCTCACGGGCCAGAGAGCCGCTGCTCCTCCCCAAACACCCCTTTAGCTCCTCACTGCCTCTACAGTCACGAACCAAATCGAAACTCCGGCCTCTCCTCACGCATCCCGAACGCAACACGCTTGCTTCCAACTCCAGCCCTCACACGCCTCCTCCTGTGGCCGGCAGCTCCTTACCTGGGGCCGCCTGGGCTTCTTCCCAGCAGCTCGGCCTCGGCCACTGCTCCAGACAGGCCCCGCGGGAGCACCAGCACCCGCCCGGTGGCGGCGGCGCTCCCTTCCTTCCTGCTCCTGCTGCTGTCCCGGCACACCCCTCCCTCACTTGTTCTTCCTACTAGGACACGCCCCCACCCCCGACCCCCCCGCCCCGAGGGCAGGGATGGAGTCTTCTCGAGTCACCACCGCACTGCCAAGCACGGAGCCCGTGCACGAAGGCAGCGCCAAGGTGGAGGGCTGGCACGTAACAAAGCGGAAGAAAGAGGCCCGCCAACCGAGGGTCTTGTTCTCAGGGCAGGTCCGCCCGGCTCTGTCCGCCTGCCCCGCTCAGAGATGCCAGAGCAAGCATCTCCCGTGTGCCTTCTCCTATGTGATGCGTCCCCAGCACCCATGTCTCAGCTCACCCCGCACGTAGTGTGGGCTGTGCCCCCCAGGCTCCAGTCCTGACCTGCGGTGGCTGGTGAGAAGGGGAGGGGGCACATACGAAAACATCAGCACGAAGAAGGCCACGGCCCGTGGGCCCGACGGCATGAATCCACACGGCCTTCAGCGTGCAGCTGGGCCCGCGGGGTCTCTTTACCTCCGTGGTCTCACTGGCTGCACTGCTCTCCTCCTTCTTCCTCTCTTCTTCTTCTTGCTCCAACTCCTTAATGCTCTCCTCCAGCACATTGGGCCAGAAGTCACCCTCAAAATAGGGCAGCTCCTTGGCACTGGTGAGCCTGTCTTCGGTCGCTTGTTTGAAAATGTCCTGGAAAGTGAAGGAAGCACGTCCGTGAGAAGAGGGAACTGAGTGACGCCCCCGGGAGCAGGTGCAGGGGCCACGCCACCGGGAGAGGACGGGGCTGTGCGTCGTGACACACGAACAGCTGAGATCAGATTTCAACAGGCACCGCGGCTTTCAGAACACCAGCTAAAACTCCCGGTGGACTGCAAATAAAGGCTTCTATGTCTTTTGTCTACGCTCTTCTTTTTTTGAGAGAAAGAGAACACAAGCAGGGGACAGGGACAGACAGACAGAGAGAATCCCAAGTAGGCTCCACGCTCAGCTTGGAGGCCAACAAGGGGCTTCATCTCGCGACCCTGCGATCATGACCTGACTGGAAATCGAGATTCGGACGCTCAGCTGACTGGGCCACCCAGGCGCCCAATGCTCTTACTTTCTCCTTCCTACTCCTCGTAGGTGAACGCAATTCTAACGTGCGTGAGCGCGAGAGGAAGACACGCCATCCCGCCGCCACGCCCTGTTTCAGCACCGGGTACCTTGTAGTCGTGAATGATCCGTTCTGCAAATGCCTTGTCCAGCATCTTCTTGTACCACTCCTGCAGGCGCTTTGGTTTGGGGATTTTCTGATCAGGGGGGTGGCAATGGAAGATATAGTCATCTCCTTCACTCGGGGGGCAGGCCCAGATGTGTCCCGTTACGTACCTACGGGACACACAGACACAATTCAGATCAAAGTGGTGACTGAAAGCCTCCCTGCCTTCAAGGAGTAACAGGTGAGAAGCAGGGACCAAAGCAAGGAGAGAAATAACTAGACAAAAAGAAAAAACAAAGAAATTACCACAACACTTGTGGTAAAATGTAACAGGCTCAGAAAAGCTGCAGTGCAGGCCCAGTGCGCTGGGGGAGGAGTGTGCGGCCGGGCAAGGCTGATCTGCAGCACACGAGGGCACGCCTGGAAATCGGCCCTAAGATGTTCCCTCTCAGGTGTGGGTGGCGGGCGGGGGCCGAGGCTCCAAGGGCACACGGTCAGCACGGGACAGGGCCCCGGGAGACGCGGCTCTCGGGTGTGTGGGAGGACTTCCACCCAGGAACGCACTGCCTTTCCTAACCACTACTTCCTGTGCACCGGAGAGGCTGGGTGTTTCTCTCTAAGGGGCGAAAGTCAGAATAAATTGGTCATTTGGTTAGGGACCTATCAATCAAATACCTCTAACTTTTTCAAATTTTGCAAAAGAAAGTGACAGGTCTAGAACAGAGAAAGAGAGATGTCCAGAAAGGCAAACAGAGACAGACAGCAGACGAGGGGTCGCTGGGCGCAGGGGCGGAACAGGGTTAACAGTAAACGGGGGCAGGGATCCTACTGTGGGGAGGACAATGCTCAGAAACTGACTTATGGCCACAGCCACACCGCTCAGTGACATACCTAAAAATCACGGAAGTGTACGCCTAAAATAGGCAGCCTTTGTGATACATAAAATATGCCTCAATAAAATTAAGAAAATTAGAAAAAAGAGCAGGGCACAGAAGGCAGATCTGCATTGCCCCAAGGGAAGGGGGCCTTGGGAGACCATTGATCTAAGGACGTTAAAAGAAAAATACGTATGACTTAGGAAAAAAAATACTCATGTTATTTCGTAAAATACACAGTAAAAATTAAAGCTGGATTTTTTATGAGTTCTGAATAAAGTGGAGTAAACTCACCCCAATTTCTTCACATATTCTAAATATCCAATAAGGATCTCATGGTAAACAGCGGTCCGGAGGCACCGGGGCCGGAAGAAATGAATACTGTCCAGATAAGATATGTACACACGCCTAGGGTGGGGAGGGCAAGCGGGAAGAAATTAATTCAGAGTTCAGGATACACCCCAAACTTGAAAGCAAACACCAACATCCAAAAAGCTCCAGAGACAAATTCTGTTTTGTAGCAGTTACACTGGCCACAGACAAGATGTAAGAAAACTCTCATCACCAACCGCCACTGCCAATGAATGATCTCACTCATCGCTGAGCCGAGAAGCAGCAGGTTGCCCACCAGGACCGCCAGGGAGAGGCCGGGGCAAACTAAGAAACGCCACCTCCAAGTCCCTGTCACCTGGACTCCTGACTGAGCATGAAAGAACTCTGGATAGAAGTTACAAGGCGGGGGCCCGTGGAGGAATCCCCACTCCTTCTCTGTGGGCTCACCTGCCCCAGGTAAGACAGGGACCGGAACTCGTGACAGGCAAGACCAGGACCGGAACTCGTGAGTACTCACAACATAGAACAGGCTCTCATCAGTCATCAACACCCTTCACTTCTCATTGGCTTAGGGTTAAACTACACTAACCAGCTTGGTCAGTTAAGCGTGGCTTATTTGATTTAAAGCCAGTTCTGAAGCACATGGCTTCTTTACAATATTTGGGGGCCCGGTCTGCTGAACCGCACGGGCCCATTAACGCACACCGGAGGAGAAGAAGAGGAGGAGGAGGAGGACGACGATGACTACCTTGTGTTTGGAGGGGGGCAATCGGAGCCGTACTCTTGCACGTGCATCCCAAAGAAGCACACATCCACTCCGTCAATTTCCTCAAAAGCAAAGAGTGCTTTGGTTCGATACGGGAAAGATTCAGACATTTCCCCGGAATCCACAAACCTGGAATAAAAGAGCCTGAGATTTGCACGTGTCATCACTTCCTGGATGCTTTACAAACAAGACCCTCGGCCCTGAGTCTGCTCCGTGCACAGGAGCAGGAGGCCTGGTCACCTCCTCTGACTGCTGGCCCCAGTGCTCAGCCCAGGCAGACAAGCTGTGACCCTATTCTCTGTGACACAGTCTCAGTCAGAAATTTTACGTCCGCTAATGAATGCGGAATACGGAGAGAAGGGCTCACTCTACATTATATGCTGAAAAACCTTTAAATTCTACAAACTCCCAGTTTAATCTTTTAGTAATCTCTACACCCAATGTGGGGCTCTAACTCACAAGCCCGAGATTAAGAACTGCGTGGTCTTCAGACTGAGCCAGCCAGGCCCTGAAACCTTGCCAGAAAGCAGGGCTTTTGTTAACCAGGTACGGTGACCCCTCAAAGAACACTTCAGAAAACAGCACAACATGTGCACACAAACCGTGACTTCATCCCAGGCTTGACCTCCACAGTCTTGTCTGAGCTGGCCACCACCCGGACAAAGACCTCCCCGGCTTCGGGATGATTCTGTCGCCGCAAAAACTTGTTGACTCGGTCTTCCAAGTGGTTGCCCAATCGCGTGGTCTGTAGTCCTGCAAAGTCCAGAGCAAGCAGGTGAGGGGGCTTCGCATGGGCTGTGGGGAAGGTGGCTGAAGCCAGAGAACCCACCTTTCTCTTTCAGTGCAGTCTGATACTCTATGGATTAACGTTTTCCAAATCCAGAAGGGAACTAGCTTGTCCTACGTGGTAAGCATTTCATAAGGGAAAGGTGGACTTGGGACCTCAGGCACTCCGCACGCTGACAAGTGCTATCATTTAAATGCCCACATATTTCCATCTTTTTCTAGACACAAGGGCGGAAGAGCCACAAAGGCAGACTAAAGGCTGTGGGGCAAAGCAGAGGGAGCACACACAGGGGCCCCACTGAGCCCACCTCCTGCCTCCCGTGCCCAGGCCCTGGTGAGAGTGCCCCCACAAGTCTGCCCATGGCCAGAATCCACACTGCACGAACTCTGCCTTCCCCGAAGGGCAGGGCATACCTCTCCCCTTCCTGCCCAGCTCGAGGGAGTCCCGCATGCAGCCTCATACAGCCTTTGGAACGCATCCCAGATGGGAGCCCACAGGGCATCACTACCTACATCAGCCCTAGACCCCCTCCACACCCTCTCTCTCCCGGGGACGCCCCAGGCGTGGCCACTGTGACAGGAACACTGGGCACAGCAGAAAAACTCTTTGCACAAGGGGAAAAGACTAGAAGAAAAAGCTACAGAAGGTTAATGCTGATAATTTTCTTTATATTCATTGATTTTTAAAATACTACATAATGAGAAATATTTTTAAAAAGTTATCTGGGATTTTATAAGATTCCTTACTAAGAAGTATCTGGAAAATTTAGATGGACTTTCTAAATTCCATTTTTGTGCAATAAACACAGCAATGGTGGAGTTTTTCTTGTATGTAAGTTGTACCTCCATAAAAGTGATTTAAAATGAAAAAACTACCATGACCAGGAAATAAAAACCCCACAGAAAACGAAGAACTTCACAAGTTCCACCAATGAGGGGAGAGCGGATTTATGATCTATCCCACACTCTGGCGAAGACACACGGCGCGCACAGCTGCCTCATTACTCTGTGAGTGGTGGTTGGGGGGGGGGACCCTCGTGTTTATGCCCCTGTGCTGCTGCTGAGCACAGCCTGTCCCCCTCACAAGGCGCTTTCCAATCCTGAAAGGCAGGACACAGCTACGAAGGGCCACCTGCCACGGTCCAGTGTCTGCCCTTCCCTTGTGAAAACAGGACCTCACACTGTGATTTTCAAATAGCAAACGGAAGAATAAACCTTTAAAGTTAGGTCTTTACTTTTTCCTTCAAATCACCTGAATGACCTGTATTAAAAAAAAAGTTTCGGGGGCGCCTGGGTGGCGCAGTCGGTTAAGCGTCCGACTTCAGCCAGGTCACGATCTCGCGGTCCGTGAGTTCGAGCCCCGCGTCGGGCTCTGGGCTGATGGCTCGGAGCCTGGAGCCTGTTTCCGATTCTGTGTCTCCCTCTCTCTCTGCCCCTCCCCCGTTCATGCTCTGTCTCTCTCTGTCCCAAAAATAAATAAAAAACGTTGAAAAAAAAAATTTAAAAAAAAAATTAAAAAAAATAAAAAAAAAAGTTTCAAATGAGACAACACAGGACCACCTTATAATAAACGAGCACCGGGAAGACGGAGAGGCGCCCTCCGAAGAGCCCCAGTGAACACAGGGGTCCCCTGGGGAGAAGAGGGGCTGCTCGTGCAGAGGCGGTCCCCGCAGGAATGATTTCGGGGAGCGCCACGCCCTCCCTGTGTGTCATGCACAGCTCTGCCTCGTTCCGCTGTGCTTCCCAGTTTCCCGCTCATTTTCCCTTCCCGGGGGCCCGCCTTATGCCGCGGGGCCTGCCGCACACACGTCGTCACACATACGTGCAGACAACTTTGGGGGATACGGGGGTAACAGTGTCAATGCAGAGTTTAGAAACCAACGTCCTGAATCGTAGTCTCCCTTTCCCCCAGGCTTTCAATGTGCATTTTCACCCAAACCACGTGACGGGGACTTTTCTGTCCCTTTACGGGCTCAAATCCTTTGGTGTCTGCTTTCTGACGTCGGGGTCGCCCCATCTCCAGGGAGGCCTCTCACAACCCTGGCCCAGGGGCTCTGGCTCGGGGGCGTCTCCAGTGGTCCTTCCTCCCTCTACCCGGCTGGGCTGCGTGCGCGGTCCCAGGCAGGGAGGGGCCCGGGGGATAGTGGCTGACTCGATGGAGGTACGGGACTGGCACAATTGCACACGCGGCAGCCTGTCCTTTGCAGCCTACAGACGCTTGCAAAGGCTGTGCTCACACGTCTGCGCCAAGGGGTGTAGGGGTGGCCAGACTTCCGAGGTCCTCTTCTATCAGTCAGTGTTATGTGTCTCTGACGCTAAGGCTCACCTCGTAGGCCTGCTCTTGGGCTTTTCTGTCCCCCTCCGCCACCAGCCACAACTGCTCTCCTACCCAGGCCCAGCTCTCCTGGCAACTGTGCTTTGGTCATGAGGCTCTCGTCCAGCAAGGTGTTTCTAGGCTGCTGACTGCTTGAGCGATCTCACTCAGAACAGACGCTTTAAAGCAGGGGTTCTCACCTGAGGACAACTGTGCCCCCGGCCCCGGGGGAACATGTGGCATTTCTGAAGGCCATTTCTGATGGCCACCACTCAGGGGGGCGGGGGTAGTGTTACTGGCATTTAGTGGGTGGCAACCAGAGATGCTCCTAAATTCCTACAGAGCATAGGACAGCCCCCATAACAAAAAGTCATCGGGGCCCTGAATGTCAATGGTGGCTCAGCTGAGAAACCCTGAGCTAAAGGAAAGCATTACAACAGTTTGGCAGTTTATCGGCATTTCAATAGGTTTTACAAGAGCGAGGTTAAGTTATAGGATAATTGTGCATTTTGGTAACAACAGTCTTTACCTGTTACCACTGAGTTGGGAAGCCCCTGGAGTGGCTTCCTCCTGGCCTGCCCCCCCCCGGCCCCCCATGCTCCTTGCCCCTCAGAGGCCCTGGCTCTCACTGGGGATGCCTCGAGCAGTGTGCTAGCCGCCTGCCCTGCTGGGGAGCACCGGGCAAGTGGGCTGTCAAGGCGCTGCTGCAGGTGGCTTTTTTTACTCGGGGTTGCTGTGAACTCGGCAAAGGACAGTTCGGGAATGACACGCTGTGCAAGGGGCTCCCAGCCCTCGAGAACCGGGATGACAAAGATCACGATGGAAAAGGAGGCTATCTCCAAAAGAGTCAAGACTACCCATGAAGACTTGAACTTCAAGTCGCAACGGGCTGCTCTCTACTGTGGAAGGACACCAGCTGCCCCCTAAACACAGCAGCAAAACGCATAACCAGTCCTCAGGCAGACCAGGCTCTGCCAGTCCCAGCAGAGAGGGCCACGCAACTGCCCCGTGCGGCCCAGGGCTGAGCGTGCTGCTCACAACAGGATGCCAGAGTGGGGTGTCTATGTGTGTGTTGGCGGGGGTCAGGTTTCTGAGCTACCTGAAAAGGATCTGCTGACGCATTTTCTCTCAGAGCTTTCTAAATTTTCACGTAGAGCACAAACGGACCGTAAATCTGGTTTTCGGGCAAAGATCAGGCCCAATGATTCCATTTAGCGGTGCTAGAAAGTGAACTTGGCACAGACCCCCGGACAAATGGACCCCACAGCCAAGTACTGAGAGGGGCTGAAGGAAGACCAGGGAGCGGGAACAAGCACCTCACGCACAGATGGGGGAACAAAAAACCTTTCCACAACTTACTCTTCGCACTGAACTTGTTTTCTTTCCGAGTTCTGCCGGTTTTCTTCAGGCAGTTGTCGCACACGAAGCTGTAAAAGAACGGGTGTGATCAGATTGCATAAAATAGTCTCGCCACCAAGACATGCGGCTTAAGTGCCTTGCTGGCAGCATCATTCACAAGTGAAGGGGCAGAGTGCTTTGAGCCCACAGTCCCAGCAGGCAGACGCTGAGGACACAAACTGAGAAGGAGCTGCTGTCGGCTTCACTGCAGGCCCCTCCCTCCGCCACTCCGCGCAAAGGCTTTTCCCAAGATCACAGGAAATCACCAGGAAATTACTCACCCCGAAGGCCAAATGATGTCATAGTGCAGAACACAAATCTGATGCATCTTCCGGCCACACTCCTTGCAATCGACAAAACTGGAAGACAAAGAGAGTGTGCTGTAATGCACATGGAAACATACAAGGGAGCTGTCCAAGGGAGCCGTCGGCAGAAGCTCGGGTACCGCGTTCACACCTTGTCCTCTGATCACTTCCAGTGTCTGTGGCACTCATGAATGCCTCTGCTGATTGCTTCAGCTGTATTTTACTTTATTCTTTCCCTACGCCCAACATGGGGCTTGAACGCACGACTCCAAGATCAAGAGTCACGCACTGCACCGAATGAGCCAGCCAGGCACCTCTGATTCAGCCGTATTTTAAAAATGCACAGGCACAATATTTTCTGTGAGAAAGCTGGGCTCCTCCACTTCCCTGTACAAATGCCTATGCCTTGCTTCTCCCAATCTCCTTTGCAATCAGAAATGAAACTTCACTTTCAAAAATTGATATGAAAGAGGTGCATTTTACAGGCCAGTATTTCTGATATTACTACGCATTTCCAAGACCAGTGCCTGCACATGTGTAAACGGACTCAAATAACCGAGAACAACACTTGCACACGTTAGAAACACTTGCTCTTAAGCCGAGGTACAGGAAGCATCTGCTCCGAGTCAACCACAAAGGTGGGAAGCGCTAAGCTGACCGGCAAGCGACGGCCTTTGTTCGAGTCAGCACTGGACAGCAGGGGCGAGGTGCTACTCACCCAGCCCCCACTGCGGCTCACCTGGCTGTCACCTCAGCCGGGAATCTTAGTTGTCAACACGCGTGGATGCGCAAACCTGTTTCCTCAGCCACCCGCTTAACCACCACCACACCTTACGTCTGGAGGAATGCTGAGGACTAGAAGGCACCACACCTCCTCCAACTCTGCTAAGTTCCAGCTCTTCCTATCAGCCTTGATGCTGAGCCCGGTAACGTGACGTACACTCTCGACACTGCCTTGAGTCCTGGGCCCCCATCTCTCCTCTGCCCCTGCTGAGCAAGCCTTCAGCCACGGATCCAGTCTAACTCTGCCTCTCTGTTCCTATTTGGTCGGGACAGGGAAAGGACACACATGTGCAAAACTGTGTACAACAGCAGCACGAGTGCCTAGTTCACGGCCTGCCAGCACTCTGCAGCATCCTGTGCTGTCGCGACTGCCACCACCCACCCCCCACCGCCTCCCATGGCTGCTCCGTCTGGACCTTGCTCTTTGCCTCTAGTGCTGCCTTGCCCCCAACCAGCTCCTTCTCTGAAACCTCAGCAGTGGGGCTCATACTCTGTGTTAGGAATTTAAAGGGTCACCAGGCAACAGTTCCCTGTTTCTGTGCCCCCTCCAAAGATACTCCACTCTCAATGTTTTCCTATGTGACAGAAGAGGACAGAAGGAAGGGAGGGAGGGAGAGAGGGAGGGAGGGAGGGAGGGAGGGAGGGAGGGAGGAAGGAAGGAAGGAAGGAAGGAAGGAAGGAAGGAAGGAAGGAAGGAAGGAAGGAAGAAAAAAGTATGTGCTAGGGGCGGCTGGGTGGCTCAGTCAGTTAAGTGTCCAGCTCTTCCGTTCGGCTCAGGCCATGATCTCACGGTTTGTGGGTTTGAGCCCCGTGTCGGGGTCACCGCTTTCAGAGCGGAGCCTGCTTGGGATCCTCTCTCTGCCCCTCTCCTACCTGTGCTCTCTCTTTCTCTCTCAAAATAAACAACAACAAAACTATGTTCTAGACCTCATTCTATCAATTTTCAATTTCATCCTCTCCCCACGAACCATTATTAACCACATGGCTGGCTCCCGTTCCCATGTTTCCTGTTCATGCACAAGCATCTCAGCGGCCACCTAGATGGTCCCCTTCCTCACCCGCACAGTGTGGCTTCTCCTACCAAGAGGTGCTCCTTTATTTAGGTCAAGCTTCTGCTTCCTGCCTGAGCTGTTGCTCTGAGTCTCTTAACTAGCTTCCTACTAGAAAGCAAAGTCATTTCCTGGCCTGGTGAATCCACCTCACAGATCCAGGATGATCTTTCCACAGCAGAAACCAATGAAGTCCTTCAAAACCTCCAGGGCACACAGAGGAGATCCGTATGTCAAAGAACAGTGTAAGTGGCCCTTCACCCAGTGCAGGGGAGGTTCACATAATGTGAACAACGGACACAGAACATCAGGACAGACGATCCACTGGTGATGAAAAATACGGGGCACAGCCTCCTCACGCACCAGGCACTGTGCTGAGGCTGGAGCTCGAGTATCTGCCGTGCCCTCCCCTACTGCCTGGGCACTGCTGCTGGGAAAGCCCGGGTGAGCTCCCAACAGGAAAGCCCTTCAAAATGAGCCCCTGGTGCAAAGTCTCCATCTTCCACTGCAGCATTCGACCCCCCCCTCCCCCCCCCGAGCTGGGGCGTTGGGACCAAGGGAAGGAGGACCTATCTCTCGGCTCCCAAACATCCCATGGTGTTGGAGCCTGTGCTCACCGAAGCAACAGAACACAATGGGCACCTCCACACGCTGGGGTGCTCTGAGCACTTGGCTTTAGGTACCTGGAGACACTGCCACATGGAAGGAACTCTGAAGCCTCTTTAGGGGTTATCGCAAAGCAAACTTTGCAAAAGAAGCATCCTCACTGACCAGTGGAGACAACAAGAGGATCTGACAATGGCCTTTGGAAATATACCAAAGTGGCAAGAACATACGCCAGGCCTCCTGTTACTCGTTTTTAAACAGTCGTTTCTAAAAAGTTTCCTTCCTGAAATTTCCCTTTAAAAGGTGTTAGTGCTACCCCAGCAAATATTCATATCTTTAGTCTCTAAAGAGTCACACTAAACGGCCTCTCAATAACCATGATGACGGAGTTAGCAGAAAGGTTCTGAGAGAACCAAAGCATCCATTTAATGTCATTGCTGTTAAAATTCAGGAACTGGACAGGATGCTGCAGAGACATACATATTTTGTTTGAGGTAAAAAGAATGCATATCTGAAATAACTTCACACAGAGAATCCCACCCAGGGCAACCCACTCCCAACATTCCAAAGGGGCCTTCTCCTGCAGGCCCGTCACAAGGAGGGATTTTCCCGATCTGAAGCTTAAAATCCAAAAGTCAGAAAGAAATCGCTTATCTACTCACGGTTCAGGATCTAAGGTATCATTTTTCTTCTTTTCAAACTGATCCTTTGAAATTGTCCTTGTTTAAAAAAAAAAAAAGAAGGGAAGAAAGAAAACTGTTAACTAACTAAATGTATTTCTTGAGCATGAACTACAGGGTCTGTGGGATATTATTTTATAACTACTTTTTCAAATAAAAAGTAAATAATGGTCAGCTGAAATCCCAAGTATAAAACTTATTTCCACAGAAAGTACTATCATATGTTTTTCTCTATCTGCCTTGGATATTTCCTCCCAACTATCACCAGGACTTATTATAAGATTTAATTAAGACTAGTCAAAATATGATGCCAAAATCGTGTTGAGACCCAAAACTATAAACTGTCAATTCAATCTGTACGGTGAATGACTCCTGGATCTGACTGATAATTGGCATGATCAACTCTTGTAATGGTAACTGAATTAGATGACACAAGATCAGCATCTACTTGGGGATATTTGACTTATTTTTAAAGAACTGAGTATTTGGTTTCTATACGGTCCTTTTGTTATGATCAGTGTATATGCGAATTATCTCTGATTCACAGAGTTATATAAGCCAATTATTAATCACGAAATTGGACCAAAGTGTTAGAATTACAAGGGACGTAAAAATAAACTGAATACAGAGAAGGTCTGTCATGTCAGTTTGTATGTCTCACTAGTGGCCACGATTTGTTCTGTGTCTGGATAAAGTAAAGCTGACGTGCAGAGGCCATGGCCACTGCTTGGGCGAGAAGCCTTCCCACCGGTGGTGGACAGTCACACTAGCAGGGCAGGAGTCATGACAGAGTCAGGAGAAAAGAGAGAACCACAAGATGCTGGCAGCCCTCGGCAGACCCGGTGGCCGGCAGGCTTTCGGTATCTCAAGCACGTGCACGAGTTGACCATTCAACTGGTGGGTTCGCCTCTTCTGGCCACATTCTATGTGACTGCTCAGAGGTGAACTCCATCAGGGGATAAGCTTTGGGGAGGAAAAGGTGAACTCAGTGAAGGAATGAATGGACCAACCCAGGCCTGTGCACGCTGGAGCAAGTGCCACACCTCCAGCCACAAGGAGGCAGGTTTACCCTCCGGGGTCTCGCTGCCTTCCGTCACAGGCTCTGCAGCTTAGAGGACAGAGAGTTCAGTAGAAGATCGGAAGAATGCTAAAGACGGGGTATGTACACACGATTCGTTTTTCGTCACTGCCAGTTCTGTCAAAAGGGACCTGGTTTCTTAGGTCTAAGTGAAAATTTACAATTTCCCCAAAGGGAGGAGGACCACCACCAGGAAAAAGCAGGAGTTTTAAAGGAAGAGACACAGTGAGGTCAACAGAGACCAGTCCGCTGCTGCGGAGGCTACGGGTGTCACAGTCTCGTGAGGAGGGAAGAATGTGGAGGTGGCAGCCGTGTCTAGCTGAAGAGCTACATTCTGACGCAGGAACGTGGGCGTGGCAAATATGAAAAAACACATCACCCGGAAGTCAAAATGGCAGAGGTGCTTCCCTTTTAATTGCGGACAAGAGGGACAAAACAATTACGAGTCAACCCCGAGAAAAATGACAGCATAGTACTTACGTCTGGGGTTGTGAAGGGTCGTCACCCAGGGTAACATTCTCCCCCTGGATCTCTGTGAAACACTTCTCACAGAAATGATACCTGTCAGCAAGAAGGCCATACTTGGGTGAACTGGTCCATCATAACACACAGCCACCCAAGCAACGAAGCCACCAATCAGAGCAGGGCAGATCACCACGACGAAGGGGGGGCGTTGTTGGTTGATTGATGGGTCAGTGAGGACAATGGAAGGAACAGGGGCAGGTGGGGAAGGGCAGGATTAGAGAACAGGGGAGGGAACAAATAGCACAGACATGAAGGTAAGACGCAAACACCGAGACAACACAGAGCAGAAAGCCAAGGCAAAGCTTGATTAGCATTCGGTCTCACTGCACACATCACAGGCCATCATCACTAACAACGGCTGGGCTCGGGCCAGCTCCGAGATGCAAACGTTTTCAAGGAATTGTTAATACTAGAATTGCAAGGAGCCTCAATTTAGGAGTTTGAATTTTGTTATTACTTCAGAGAAAATCAAATATAACTCCAGGGTTTCCGATGGAGAAGTTTTACTTCGAACAAAACAGTCTGACAAAGGCCTTAAAAAAGCAATTATTTTTCAAAACGGGAAATTTATGCTTGACAGCAATGCACAGATTTTATTTCCGGTATTAAGCCAGATCTTTTAAAGGTATGAAAATGTTGGGCACGCAGAACCGGTTTTAATTTTTTTCCTGTTATTTTTCTCATGTTAATCACTTCGTTAAATGAGTTACAATACGAATGAAACCAAATCCATATTCTGGACAAACATTTAACAGAAATGCAGTCGGGGTCAAAGACTTTCCAGCCATTTATCAGTACGAATGTACAGAGAAAAAAAAAAAACTATGATATATTGTATAAACAATACAATATATGTAAATCCATGAACAATCAATCTCAAAGACTTTGAAAATTCAGTTCTAAAGCTTTGGTTTAAACTGTTTGGTACTGGGACCAATCATTCACCAATCTGAGATCCTCAGTGATTGACTGCTCTGACTTGGTGACAATCCAAGTTAAGCAAATTTGGAAAGTTGATCTTTATAGCACAATCTGCATTTGAGAAATTATCCATCACCCCAATTTCTTGTAAGATAATACAAGCCTGGGCTCAAGCTATCCAAGAAGAACAATTAAAATAAAAACTCTTAAATGTTTGGAAAGGAGACGAATGAGAAATCAACAGAAGTGCAGGCTGACGCTGCATCAAACAAGATGAGCACACAAGAATACTGTAAAAATAAACAAGCCGAATGGAGGTGGATTCACAAGCGAAAAGGATGAGTAGAAGGTAGTGGCAGCAGCACAACAAAATGCGGTTTTAGTGCTCAAAACTACGTCTACGAGATGCCAAGAGGATTAGTGTTAAAGACACTGTGACGAGACTCGGAGTGCCACACCGCACGGACACGCGCAGGGGACGCGGCAGCTCGCAGGGTCACTCACGCACGCGCACACACGCCTTCAAGGACAGAGGCGCAGGCCCCCACCCGGCCGTCTGTCTCCATTCCTGCTCACATCAGTCCCCAGCGAGTTCTAATTCTAGTCTTAATTACACACACTAAGCATTCTGTCTGCTGGACTTCACCGACTAAACACACAGAGTCAATTAAAAGCACAAAACTTCAGAGTGCAGCATCTCAAAATGGTCCGATCTTTCCGTCTGTCGATGAAGGCATGACAGACTCACTGTGGGGAGGAACTGGATTAATGAAAGTTTCTTCCCGGGACCAGTTTACTTGTGATGATCCAATCAATGAATTCTGCCAAGAGTAAAAACTCTGACCAAGAACAAACAGATAAATATTGCTGTTTAAAAATATCTACATCTATGTTTTTGTTTTGTTTTGTTTTGCTTTGTTTTCTGAATCAACTATAACAATATGCTGGCTATTCACTATTTTGGAAATGTTCTTACAGAGCCTTAAATCATGTGGTAAACAGGATTTCCATGTGCAGGAGGGCGTGATCGTCACTGGCAATTAAAGTGCAGAAACCATAAACCAATTCAGGGGCAAACAGAACAATATGCAAAAAAGATATCCCCCTCAATATGAACTATTTCTCTTTTAAAAATAAAACTTGTAGGGGCGCCTGGGTGGCTCAGTCGGTTGAGTGTCTGACTTCAGCTCAGGTCATGATCTCACACTCCATGAGCTCGAGTCCCGTGTCAGGCTCTGTGCTGACAGCTCAGAGCCTGGAGCCTGCTTCAGATTCTGTGTCTCCCTCTCTCTCTGCCCCTCCCCTGCTCATGCTCTGTCTCTCTCTGTCTCAAAAATAAATAAAAACATTTAAAAAAATAAAAATAAATAAAAATAAAACTTGGAATTGAGTGTTCCAATTCATTTTATGATCAAGCATACAGCTACCGCCGGCTAGCGAAAAGGTGAACTCGTCTGGAAGTGAAATCGCCACAATAGTTACACGTGAGGCAAAACGGCTTTAAGATCCGGGACAGACTCTTAGCCCTTATTCGAGCAGGACATCAAGCCCAGCGACATCCAGGAAACAAGAACCATCAGCCCATCACTCTCCGGCGGAGGAAACTAGCCCGGAGCAAAGCCCTGATGCCTTAATGGCAGACCCCAGTGATGCTGGAAGCCTACACCCTCCGTGGGCAACTAACCTGGATCTCCAAAGCACCTCCGGGATGGAAACTGGGAGGCACAGAAACAGTGTGTGTCCCAAAGCAAGTGGAGACATTGGAGAATCGAACGTGCTGGGTTTGAGAAGGGTCCTGAGAGGCGGCAACAGTCTGGAGAAGGGGGCACAGCCACCCACTGGTCAAGTCTGCTGAAACTGCCCTGGCAATCACTGGGGGACACACTGGAATGCCACACTGTCCCCCCCCTTTATTCCCTAGTCCAAACTTTATTCCCCCTAAAAATACAGAATGGTTCAGAAAGTCACTTTTCAATCTTAAGAGCCTCGTTGACACTCTGCCTTGTGTGAAGAAAGCAACCAGATGAACATGGAACTGCAAAGGAGAAATACTTCACGTAATCCAACAACGATGTGCATGTGGGTACCTAAAATTAGCACAATATGATTGCGTAGTTTCTCTGTAAGGGTAATTTAATGTATGGAGTAAATTTTCAAATGCAGATTGTTTTAAGTACCATAATAGTATACAAAAATAACTGGGATATCTAAAGATAGTATCTGAAAAATTTATACACAAGTTTTCCCAACATGAGTTTCAAATATTCAAAGCATGGAAACAAGTGAAGACGGGTTTACATGCTAGTTTACATTAGTTTCACTTGTTCAAGTGGTCTGTAGGACATCCTATTGCTCGAGGTGCCCAGTTTAGGACAAGGAGTGCCAAAACAATTATTTGTGAGAACACCACGGTGTTCACAAGTAGTCAGAGATGCAAATAAAAACTCAAGCAGTTAAGATGTTCATCGTGGAGTGAGGCCACTGCTTTCTTAGCATTACAGCACGTTAATCTCTGCAAGCACAGTGTCCTAGGAAGCAGGCCTTGCGAGATTCAGTGAAGGAGCGGGATGCCTACACTTTAGGCCAGAACTGTATTTCTGTCTCTACTCGTAAGAAAAACACTTTTGTTCAGTAAAGATGAAATTCTACACAAAAATAAAACTGGACATTTCAGATCTTCCCAAACAACCCCATGGCTGTGCTCCCCGAGCAACCTCCTGCCAGAGGGAAGTGTGCCTTGATCCTATCAGTTCTATTGAAATTAATTGCTCTCAAATGAGCAAATCAGTAAAGGCAGGGTCCCAAAGGACATAGGAACAGTGAAACAACAATGAAAAGGCCCCCAAATTTTAGAAATGGAAGCAAGCAACCTGCTGTCTGTTCTTCCTTCTAGACCCAAACCACGTTGGGCACTCAGCAGCGGGGGCATTTTTCAGGAAACAGGTAACTGAAATCTGTTCTCTTAAAATTTCCCAACTTTATTTTGCTTGGCACATAAGTTTCCAAAGTGAATTCCTGTTCACTGTTTCACGGAGACTGACAACCGAGGTTGTTAGGGAAGGTGTTATTGTGCTTGTATTATGAACAACAAGGTAAAACTTCATACGTTATGGGACGTGCTAAAGGTCAGGGGGCTAGAACTGTAGCTGAAAGGGCCAGAACTCCCACAAGAGCACTTGTCAGTACAGGAGAGATTCCATCAAAAAGGAACTATGGTATTATTTCAAACTGTCTCCCACCGATAGAAAGGGAAGCTAGGACAGAAACTAAATTCCTGATGTTAACGTATTTTTAACGTTAAGGATGGGGTACAGGCCACACTCCAGCACCTCACTCTAACTGAACGGTGCCCGAACAAGCAGGCTGGGCAAGGCTTAGCAACCTTTCTTTTGAGACATGTTTATGTCAATAGTTTTTGCTTTTGTTTTAAAGTAGGATTTTGAAGGGATTTACTAATTATAAATATGATTAGATATTTTTAAAAATTGGAAGTATTTTAAAATCATCAGAACACAGATAATTTCAAAACTAAATATTATTGAGGCCTGCACGTGTACCTCTGAACAAATAACAAAAAGCCCTCTACTTCGAAATATAGGAACATATGCAATTACTAGAAGCAGACAAGATCAAATCATCAAAACATCAAACCCTAATACTGACATTTAATACTTGAGCCTACAGACGAGGAACAGGCACAGAGCTGAACCTTGGTCACAGAAATTTGGTCGCCTATTCCTCAAATGGAGGCAAGGTAACTGAATGTGACCAAGATTTACAACCTGTGCCCCCAGGGAGGATGCCCTCGTGCTATGGCAACATGTGGCCGCCTGAAACAGGAGACACAGACAAGTTCAATTTTCAAAATGGCCCCAAAACTATGGAGGTTGTATTTGTGTGTGGCAAATTAACAACAAAAAAATACTATTTTCATTCTCTTTTACTTAAGACAGAAAACCCATTTAGCCATCCCCACATTTTAAGAGAATGGCAAATATTTCTCCAGGATAACTACCACTCACAAAACCCTGAAATGGCCATCCTATGATGGGGAGAACTCAACAAGAATGCAAGATCTCATTCAGTGCTGTGTTATTAATTTAAAAAAAAGTTTAAGTCTAAAGCTTTTATTCATTTTTATTTACTTTTCCTTTTATTATTTTTTTAAGGAAATATCATCAATGTAAGTCTTTCCATCAGACTGTCTGGCCCAAATTATGTAGGCAAATATTTACACGTGAAATAATAAAATACAATGTTTCCACTTAAGATCTTCAGAAAGGTATGTGAACCCTTATTAGAGTTACTCTGGACTCCAGACTCTTCGGTGGTTACATTTTGGAAAGACCACAGCTTAAGAACTAACCTTCCTGACTCAAGTAGTGCAGCCAGCAGGAGCTTCAATTGCTACCGTGTAAGAGCATGCTTTCAAATTAAGAGATCATGGGCCTGAGTGACTCAGCAGCACGCAGAGTGGCCCATTTCATTAGAACTCCAGAAAAGACATAACCCAGGCTATCCTCAGACGGACCTGCTCGCCCTGAGACCTTCGTCCTGGGCCTATAAGCCAGGACGCCGGCTCGGTGCTCACCTGTTCTGATAGCTGTAGTAGGCAGCGTCGCGAGGAATTGTACACAGCTGCTTCCCGTAGCAGCACAAAGTCTGTGGGGAAAACTCATACTGCAAAAACAAAGGAGAAAATACTAAAAACGTATCCCAGTGACTGTCCTACAATGCTCTAGTTCACTAAGAAGAGCTGTCAGATTCAGCTAGTAAGATATTCCTATTGGTACATGGTATAGTTTTCTAACAATTTGCATAGCTGTTTAATAAAGACATTTTTGGATTCCATGTGACAGAATCAACGTCAAAAGACATTTGTTACACATTGATAAAGGTACAGAGGAGCAGCCAGAAAGGCATAACCCAAGGTCCTCCCCAATAAGCAACTCTAGCTTTGATCACCCATTACATGGCTTCAGGCAATCGACTTGTTTTACAAATGCCCAGACTCCATCCGGGTCCTTCCCAGAACACAGGTGGGATACAATGTGGAGTCTATCATGTTATCATAATACCTGCTCTGGCTAATTTAACCGGCAAAGTTCACTTTCCAAAAAACGTCTAAACTGTACCTTGCGCCCACAACAATATCCAAGGGACTGCATGACGGGGTCAATTTCCTGCTCAAAGACCTCAGCAAGTTTGCTGCAGAACTTGTAGACCCGGGACGTCTTCCGGTTATAGAGCCAGGCGTTGTTGAACATGAGCCAGACGTCATCCACATACTGCCAGGGTTCTTGGTACTGCCCCGTGTCCAGCTTCCGCTTGATGGTGGAAAGGTCCATAGGGTTCTTGACAATGTCAAAATAATCCTTAAAGACAAAAAAGTCTCAGTCTAGTGGATCCCCCCAATACTAAATGCCAGCCTTGCATAGCAGCTTTATCTTAAACAAAACAGAAACAGGAAGTACCAGAACAACTTCCATTTCTAATAGCAACAAATGGGAAATGAGAAGAAAATAACCTCTGACCTTCCTCTGGTTGAATTACCTAAAACTGTAATTAGTTTTGTCAGGTGTGACCAAATTATTTCAAAGGCAAAGAGAAAAATAATATTAATAAATTATTTAACAAAAAAATGGGTAAAAGATGTTAATAGAAACCTCCTTGGTTTTTACAATTTATTTTTAAAAAAGGTTTATTTATTTTTGAGACAGTATGGGCGGGGGAGGGGCAGAGAGAGAACAGGGCAGAGGATCCACAGCAGGAGCAGGCTCCACCGCTGTCAGCAGAGAGCCGGATGCAGGGTTCTAACTCACAAAGCATGAGCTAGTGACTTGAGCTGAAGTGAGATGCTCAACCGACTGAGCCACACCCTGACGCCCCGAAAAATTTTAAAGTAAGGATTTTAAACCACGGAATTAAAATGGTAAGCACATTTATCAGACAATATGTTTTTCTAGAGATTTACTCTTGGTCCTGGCAAGCAAGATGAAATTCCAAGACAAACACAAAAACAGAAACAAAAATAGTAATACTGCTTAAAAAAAATCTGTTGGGTCACTATGACCTTTGCGAAACGACCCAGAGATACCAAAATGAGAGGCCCAGGTGCTTTCCAACTGATGATGACCAGTTCTTTCTTTAAAACCAGCCTTTGAGGGGCGCCTGGGTGGTGCAGTCGGTTAAGCGTCCGACTTCAGCCAGGTCACGATCTCGCGCTCCGTGAGTTCGAGCCCCGCGTCGGGCTCTGGGCTGATGGCCCAGAGCCTGGAGCCTGTTTGCGATTCTGTGTCTCCCTCTCTCTCTGACCCTCCCCCGTTCATGCTCTGTCTCTCTCTGTCCCAAAAATAAACGTTGAAAAAAAGAAAAAACAAAAAAAACAAAAAAAACAAAAAAAAAAACCAGCCTTTGAGACGAAGGCTCACACACAGCCCCAAATCTAAGTGAGGCTCCCGGGGCCGTGTGTTTGCAGGCGGTGTGCCCCGGTGCGCTCCCCCACCTTGGACCCTGGGGCAGACAGAATAGGTGGGGAAACACACACCCCACCCGGTGAGTCAAAGGTGTGTAAGAAAGGTGCGCTACTGATTCGACAGAGAAGTTTTTTTATAGGCGAAAAATCTTCCAAACAAGGGTATGCCACCCAATTTTGAGGTGAAACATGGACACCCGGGAGCTACGCTGGCACGGTTACACTGTCACTACGTGAACTTACCGGGATCCCTAGCAGCTGGGGGTCCACAGGCTGCCGGAAAGGCAAGGACTCCGGGTCCTGGCGGTACAGAGCTTCCAGGGTTGGCATCAGAGCCTGGCGTAACTCTTCCGGCTTAAAGACTGCGGGTAGAAAAACCAGGGGATGACACCATTCACAAGGCACGCAGACACCTCACCCACCACATTCCAAATCGAAGCCCGACCTGCCTCTCTAAGGGTCCAGCCATCTCCATCCCCACGGCCACCCGCGCCACGAGGCCTGCAAGGGCCCCCATTCCCAGCAGGGGCCGTGGACACTCTAAAGCTACGGTGTGGGGCTTCTGCAAATACAGTAACGGGGTTTTAAAAGTGCACCTACGTCATGAGACCAAATACCACACTGACAAGTTCGCGTCTTCAGTAAAAGAGTTTCCAACATTAAAACTGTGTTGAACCGAAAATGAAGCTAACTCCCAAATCTGCTTGAGCCAATGGGTGGTAATAAAGCCATTTTATTGGAAGGGGCCTTTCTTCCTCTGGTGACACTCTCTCTGTCCTTGGCTGAGGTAATCTCAGGCACCTGAGACAAACGGTTTTGTATTCCAACCTCACAAACAAATGTACACACTAAGAGAGCTACCAAATCAAATATTTCCCCCCAAAGTTCTGTGCTGTTCTCTCCACCCCTCAGCCACTCCACTTCCTACCACGCTTTCCATTGTCACCAATCCAAGGACGAACACCAGCTGCCAAATACATTCAAGACGGTAGGTTTGCACAAAACCCAGTGAGTACTCAATTCATGGCCAGGAAAACGTGCGTGACAACCCACGAAGGCAAGAGGCGGTTCAGGCGGCAGTGCTCAGGTCGCCCCGCCCCACCCCGCCCCGCCCCGCCCTGCCCCGCCCCGCAGTGGGGACCACTGGCGGCCCAGCGCCACTCCCCTCTGCGCGCAGAGGCCGGGCCTGCGGAGCGGATGTGCCCGACAGGAGCCTCACGAGAATACACACCCTGCCTTCGGCTAACCCCTTCTCTTCTATTCTGTTCTTTACAGAAATGGAGCAGCGTTTGGTTTTCTTTGAGTAATTCTTTATAAGAAAACAATTATTTAGTTAATCAACAGCTTTTGCATTCTTCTTAGGCCAGAGATCAGCAAACTCTGACCCACCGGTCCAGTCCAGCCAGCTGCCTTCCTGCGTACAGCTGGGGAGCGAAGATTGGTTTTTATGCTTTTTAATGGTTAGGAAAAAAAGAAAAGAGTAGTATTTCATGATACGTGAAATCAAAGGTTAGTCTCCAGAAGTAAAGGTTTATTAGAATGCAGCTCTGCTCTGTCTGTGGCGGCTTTCAGGCCACGAAACAGAGTGGCTGCAACAGAGACCGAACGGACGGACGCAAAGCCCACGGGGACTATCTGGCTCTTCATGGGGAGCGCGCTGCCCCCTGCTGGAGGCTGCATCCCCTCCTGGTGGCAAGCTCACACGTGGGTCACTTGGGTCCATCACTCATTTACTCGCTCACTACACATGTGTTTAAGACACCTATGCCGAGGGAAAAGCATTTTCAAACTCCTGTCTTCAGCCGCCAGCACTTCCTCAGCCACATTTCAAGTGCTCAGGAGCTACGTGTGGCTGGTGACAAGCACAGAGAGCACAGATAAGTAACGTTCCTGTCATCACAGAAAGTTCTAGCACTGCTCTAGGCCCTTTCCAAGGGTCTCCGAAATTGTTTACTTTCGTAACATAAAATGATTTTCACAGTAACACTAGGCCGTCATCTTCCTGCCGCACCGTGTGGACATTTGCACGAACAAGCAAAAGGAACCATGAGTAACATCACTCGTGTCGCAGCACCACGCAGGCAGCGGCACCAAACCCGACTCCGTCGTCACCGTGCTCCGTGCTGCTGTGCACACAGAGGAAAACGTGGCAGCCGCACTCAACAACATCCTCGGTCGAGGAGTAAACGTTATTACTGTTAAGGATCTCAACCCTTGGCTACGCGTCTTGATCTCGCAGCACCGAACAGGAAGCGGGCGTCAAGCACTTCCCCGTGTGCGGCCAATGCCCCAGGAGGAGGCGCTCGTGCGCGTGGGGCCGACAGCGGAAGCGGCTGCTTTTCTCAGCTCTGAACAGTACGACTGGGAAAAAGACCGCTAGACAAGCTCCAGGTATTCAGATCTGGGTATGTGGCAGATACTCTCCCAAAAAGGAACAAAATGGGCCAGTTACACCAAGGACAATACACAGTATTTGTTGCCAATGATAAAATTTGGACTTAGGTCAAAATCAGAATTTGGAGAAACTTCTACCTGCCATGTGAGCTTGACTTGACAGCCTCTCAAAATTCCCAAGACTTCTTTTGAAGAGATTCATAGTGATGTTAATAAATGTGATTTTAAACAAATAGCGTGCAGTGAAGGGGTGCCTGAGTGGCTCAGTCAATTAAGCGTCTGACTTCGGCTCAGGTCGTGATCGCACAGTTCATGGGTTCGAGCCCCAGGGTGGGATCTGGGCTGAGAGCTCAGAACCTGAAGCCTGCTTCAGATTCTGTGTCTCCCTCTCTCTGCCCCTCCCCCGCTGGCGCTCTATTTCCCTCTCTCTCAAAAATAAAATAAACATAATATATCGTACAGTGAAGTATGCTGACATTTGGAAAATCGGCGTAATTCAGCAAGCCGAATTCCAAGATGACCAAAGGATCGTGTTATTAAAAAATGAAACAACCCACCCCGCCAGGGGTAAAGGATTCATTCACAGCACAAGGCAAACAGATGGACTGTAATGTCTCCGGGCATGACACCTTCAGTGCTGCTGTGGACCCAGACTGCACACTGCAACTGAGCTCTGTGAAACTTCCACTCACTGAGTTTTGGTGTAGTATCAAACAAGAATGCTCCCCATGAACTGAAACAAACGAGGCAGCACAAGAGAGCTGGTAGCAGCAGACAGGAGAGTCCAGCCGTGTCTGCCAGACTGAGTCACAATGTTGTAAAGAAAACACTGTCACGACTCTAAGTATGTTTGCTCTGGGAAGCTTATTTTTCATAAAAATATGTTATTCACGGACGCCATGGAACAGGTGTGTTAGAGAAATACGTATTTTTAAATTTCCGACAGAATAAACAGCGACATAATCCACACAAACAAAACCTCTGGGGTCCTCAATTTTTAGGAGTATAAACGGGCCTGACACCTGAAAGCTTCTGGTAGCCCATTACCTCCAGGGTCCCTCTCACTGGCAAAATTATAGAATGTCAGCCTCCGATACATCTCTGTCGTCTTTCCCAAATGTGTCACATGCAGTCCTTATCCTTCTGAGCGACATCCCATCTCCAAGGGTCACCTAACAATGTTCCAACACCCCGTTAACCTCCTTACTCGGGACCTCCAATGGGCAGAGAGCATCCTCACTCACGCGCCCCTCCCGCTGCACCAGGCCACTGGGGCCCACTGCGCTGCACCCTGACTCTTGGCACCCCGCTTCCCATCCATATCAGCGCACACACGTGCTGCCTCGGTGAGAATTTCCCTGGCACGGCTTTCGGGCGTCCTCCTGCTCAAATCTACCAGTGGCTGTACAGGTCTCGCCAGGCAAAAGCCCGAGCTCCTCGGCGGGTGCAAGGACTCGGACGCACCCACCCCTCTGGCCTGTCCCTCAGAGCCGTGGCCCGTTTCTCATTCCTTCCATAAACCCTGTGGGTCCTTAGGCCAGAGTCCAGCTCGCTGTCGTCATTTCTGAAGAGGTAAGACTGGGGGAAGGGCAGGCAGGTAAGATGTAAGGGGAGGGGCGGTTACTTTTCTGCTTTAGCTTCTAGCCCACAAGTGTGGGATCACAACACGGTGGAAAAGCAGCACAGTTCAAAAGTTCAGGAAACACAACCTACTTTTTTTGCGTGGCTGTGAAGGAGATGTTGACTGAGAGGCGGCCCCATTAGCGCTGCTCTCTTCTTCCTCTTTAGTTTCTACTTTGACTTCCGGTTTCTTCTCGTCCACTTCCATCGGTTCAGATTTCTGTTCTGTTGTGTCTGTTTCTTCTTTAACTTGAGAAGATCCTTGCAGATCCTCCTCCATCATCTTAAAAGAAACAAAATTACAGATAATGATGTACGAATATCAAAAACCTTTATTCTAACTCAGCCTCATCGGAAAGCTCTTAACAATCTATCCGGGCCTGTCAAAACCTTCCCCTGCTCAGCGCTGCATTTACCATGCGCTCCTCTCCTCGGGGAGGAGTGGAGCACCTGGGGCCGGGTGAGTTGCCTTACTACAGCACCACTGCAATTAGAGTGCTAATGTAACAATTTTACATGCCAGAGTGCGTAAAAGACGTGGCCCCCACGCACCCATGACCTGCTCAGTGCTTGTACAGAGAGGAACTCCTACTTTGGAACAAGACTCTCCTTGAAAACTGGGGCCAAGTTTCAAACGCCACATCGCTCTGAGGGCCAGGGAGGTGAGAGAGACGGTGCAGCGGGAGGCGTGCAAGCCGGCAGAGGAGCAGAGACTCTGGCAAACTGGGGCGCCCGATCCCCATCTAAAGGCTGCGGCTGGGGCTCCCACCCAGACTGCCGCCACGGGAGTGCGAGCACAGTGCTGGGGATCTTGTGGTTTTCAAAGAAAAGCCAGAAATCCAGTATTATTTGTAATTCCTGGTTTCTAAAAACATTGCGTGGGCCAAACAAAACCTGTCTGTGGGGCTGGATCTAGTTTTCAACTTTTGGCACAGGCGAGTTCGTGCGTGAGCACGCCCTTGTGCCTTCGGGACTCTGCAGAGCCGTGGTGACATGTCACTGGATGATCCTGTCATTTAAGATATAAACTGGAACTCTTCATTTCTGGCAAAATAAAATGAAGCCTATACCTAGTACCTAAAAATACCCAATCTGTTTTTAATCTGTACCTTCTTTGAACCCGTAATCAAGCAGGATATTAAAACAAAAGGCAGGGTTGTCCACGGAGGGCCTGTAGCATCTCCCCTTGGGACACTTTAGGGACACTCGTGCGGCACATTTGCTCATGCCCGGGAACGGCACCTACCGCAGACCCCGGCTCCCCCTTGGATTCACTGGCATCAGGCTCAGTGTCCTCAGTCTTGACCTCTGCTTTCATCTCCAGCATCGGTGCCTCGGGTCCTGGCTGCTGGGAGTTGGTTTCGGCACTGGCCACCGAGGAAGGAGTGGGGACCCGGTTATCGATGCTGGCTGCTGCCTGGGAAAGCTATGGAGAGACAAAGATCATCATCTTTGTTAACACCACAGCATAAACGACGTGAAACTCTGCGGCTGAACCAATACACGCTTTTATGTTACCATTTCTCAACACTAACCTAAGAGACACAAAGAACTGAATGAAGAACAGAGAAGTTAAAATAGGAATCCCAGAGGAAGTCAGCATTGAGCAGAAACACAAAGAACTTCCCACCAAGAATGCAGAGATGGGACAGCAGGGCTTTCTACATTTTGATATAAAACTAGTTTCCAGAAGTTTTCTACCTAAGTCACAGAACCTCCCATTTTAAAATTAACTGGGGCGCCTGGGTGGCTCAGTCAGTTGGGCGGCCGACTTCGGCTTAGGTCATGATCTTGCAGTCTGTGAGCTCGAGCCCCACGTCCGGCTCTGTGCTGACAGCTTGGAGCCTGGAGCCTGCTTCGGATTCTGTGTCTCCCTGTCTCTCTGCCCCTTCCCCATTCGCAATCTGTCTCTCTGTCTTTCAACAATGAATAAATATTAAAAAGAAAAATTCTTTAAAGTGAACTCCTTCCAATAAAGCCAGTGGCGTTTATCGTAAAAGGCTGGAACTCAGATAAACACGTATACGAGTAGGAGTGCATGCCCGTATGGAACAAGAACATATAATTATCCTGTTAATTGCAGGAACAGAGGTGGTGGAGGTAGTGGAGGAATAAGCAAACATTAAGGGAAGGAAGCACCACCACAATTCTCAATTTCCAAAGTCTCACCTAATGGAGTTTGAATTAAATAAAAGAGAACATAAAATAACACAGGGATCTCATTTATAAATAAGAAACATAAAATAAGCCTAAATAAAAAGCACATTCCCTATGGAGAAATACAAACAGTAATGTTGTATGGAGGTTGTTGTTGAGATTTATTTTGATAGGTTTATAAATAAAACATCCTTAGTCCCCAAGAATGAAGTTCACGTATTTCAGGGGGAAGGGTGGTTTCTAAGTTAGGCTGATAAGACGACAGACAGGAAGATGTCAGCGGCCACCAGGGCAGGGGTGCAGAGGGTGGTGAGTGGGCAGCACCGGCTGCTCGCTGCCAGCAGGTCCGCGGAGCACGGGGCAGACCTGAGCCACAGGAAGTGCTAACCTGAGTCTGCCATTTTGTCACGGAAAGAAAAGGCTCCCGGTCTGAAAACAAGGCTAACAGGTGAAGGCAAAGCACACACAATTAGGTACGTGTCTTGTTCACCAAACACAGTAGTCTAAGAGAAAAACTACTAAAACTCAGAGGATGTCAACCTGCGATGGATAATGGGGAACACACGGCTCCTAAGTATAGACAGTTTAAAAAATCTACAGAGGACCCATGTGGGATTTCTTTATAAGTGCCCATTTCTGAAAACTCATTTAATTAGGGAAGATAATCTTAAATCACATCCAGCCAAACACAAACACGGCCTATGGAGGCAATGTCGGAAATCAAACACAGCTTGTTATGGTTGGATTAGGGCACAAATACTTTCTGGGGCTGCACCGAAACGCTGTAGCAACTTCACGACAGCATTTTTTATGGAGAAGTTCTCCATTATGAGTCTCCACCCAAAGACAGACCGCAAGGCTCACCGGTGTGCCGGGAGGCTGGGCATGCACAGGCGTCGGCTGCTGTTGTGATGACTGAGGGGTGGCCACAGACGGGGGCTGGACTGGGGTCTGAGGCTGTGGGGTCACCTGGGCCTGGGCTGCTGCCTGGACCGTCGGGGTGCTCTGGGTCTGGCTGGCACTGGGCACCGAGCCGGGAGTCGGGGTAGGGGTCTGCCCGGAAGACGACACAGGAGTCGATGGCTGGGTGGGAGCTGCTGGCTGGGGAGGAGTCATCCCAGGCGCCGACGGGTGCTGGAGAGACGGCATGCCCGCGGCCGTGGAAGCAGGGGGTGGCGTCTGGTGCAACGGTGACTGTGTCACTGGTGGACAAGGCAGCTGGCTGGCCTGAGGCCCAAGCATGTTCAGAGGGTTAGGAAGAGCAGCACCAGGCACCTGTCCCTAACGGAGGGAACAGAGTATGTTAAAATAATTTCCCCCATGTCAGAATGTGGCAATAGACTTGAAGAATTAAATGCATGAAAATCTAACCACGGTTTCCCGGTGAGGTCTGCCTGGTGAGGTCTGCCGGTTTCAAGAGAATGTTCCATTTGTAACAATTCACCCAGCTGTACACTTACAACACTGCACTTTCCAGCGAAGTTACTGCTACAAAATATCTCTCGTACCGTGACTTACAGACCCGCTGAAACGTCTGGCTCAAACGAGCACGTCCACTCAGCTTACTAGCATCATGCTCCAAAGCATCTACCCAGAGCTCAGACCACTGGAAAAAGTATTTCTCTTTTGCAAAAAAGCTGGGTTACTGAAACACTGAAATGTTTCAGTACAGTGATTTGCAACTGGGGACACGCTTCACATAATTATTTGCGGACTTTTAAAAAACAGATCCCAAATCACTGCTCTCGGGCAGGGGTCTGCAAACCAGCAACCGTGGCCAAATCCAGCTAGTTGCCTGTTCCTCTAATAAAGTCTTATTGAAACACAGCCACACTCCCTCATTTCATTTATGTGTGAATGAATATGCCTATGGCTGCTTTTCCACTACAGTGGAGCTGAGTCGTTAAAACAAAGACCCTTATGGCCCACAGAGTGAAAACTATTTACAGGACAAGTTTGCTATTCTAGAGCAAGGACGTACTACAGACGTTAAGAATTAATTAACAAATATTTAGTGAGTAAATCTAGTGTAGCCAATGACCTCTTTTCAATGTTACTTCATGTAAAAAATTAAAACATGAATATTATCTTCCGGGGGAAGATGTGGCCTGTTTTAAATACAGGTGTATCGGCACACGGCAGCAATCTGATGCCCAACAGTTAACAATGGTCACAAAGGGGAAAAAGTGAATAATGAATGGGAAATAGTTCTCTTCAGCCTTCAACAGAGTACTTACAAACACATTCAACAAGAAGGGCTCAATCGATCTAGTTAGCCTGATTCACCTGGGATGGTCAGAGAGACAGACAACAGGGTATTTCAACCCAATGGTCAGGAGTGGAGTCACAGGGCCTTTCCTCACCCTTTAACACTCAAGGTCTCTCAGGACCACATTTGAATTTAAAACACACCATTAAAGAGGGCCTGGGTGGCTCGGTCAGTTAAGCATCCGACTTTGGCTCAGGTCACGATCTCACGGTCTGTGAATTTGAGCCCCACGCTGGGCTCTCTGCCGACAGCTCAGAGCCTGGAGCCTGCTTCAGATCCTGTGTCTCCCTCTCTCTCTGCCAATCCCAGCCTGCACTCTGACTCTCTCTCTCTCTCTCGCTCTCTCAAAAACGAATAAACGCTAAAAAAACAAAAACCCAACCCCAAACCAGAACACAAAGACCAGGAACCAAAAGACGACGACCCATTCCACTTTTGTGGGAAGCTCACCCAGAGATGCTAAGAGTAATTCTAAAGAACGTAAAAATGACGCAACAGAACGGGAGGTGGGGGGGAACGAGAGATGCGAGTCACATCCAAATGTGTGCTGTGGAACTTTAGCTCAGCTCAGGAGGAGGCTGGGGCTCCATCACCAGGCACGGTACCTGCGGCACGCCCGTCTGGGCCGCCGGCTGGCCCAGGCCCACACTGCTCACACTCATCGCCCCGCCGGAGGACTGGAACTGGTTCTGAGGCAGGAACTGGTTCTGCGCAGGCGCCTGGGCCATGATGTTGTTGCTGTGAGCGCCCATCATGTTCGGAGGCTGGGGCATTCGGGAAGGAGAAATGGCCATCTAAAAGACAAGCATCGTCCAGAGTTCAGAGGACGAGGGCCAGAGTCTTCAAGATAAACTAGAAGAGACAGAACTCTGCGAATCTCCCCTCCCCCTGCCTTCTCACGCACAAGGTCTCTGAGGAGCCAGTTGCAAATTTATCTCTGAAGGGAAATCAATAGCATGCCATAATTTAAAGTTCAAAATATGCCTTTTACGACTTCTCTGAAGCATTAAGAAGGCAGCCTCAGGAGAGTAAGCTCTAGGAGACCACAGATGCTGTCAAGCACCTCTCTGCAACTGTGGGAGGCTGCAAGCTCCAATCTCAGACATGTCTTCTCGCAAAGTCTCAAGTCCCTATTAATTCATCATCCCAACAAAAATAAATAACGGTCAAATAACTCTCGCTGTAGTAATGAAGACCAAAAAGAGGCAGAGAGATGTGAAGTAAATAAACCACAGCCAAAACCAAAGGAGTAAGCACCAGGGGATTCTTGACCTACAACTTCACTGTGCAGAGAACTTTCCTTACCCGAGCAAGGCCTCCTCGGCACAGCTGAGGCCAACAGAAGCACTTACCCCTGGAACGGAGCCCATGCTGTTCATCGGGACAGAGTGGTTCATGGGGGACGCTGCACGCGGTCCCATGGGAGCCTGCGGCAACTGTACGTTCCCCAAGGACATTGGGGTAAATGAATTCATCCCTGTAAACGTACCCACAACGGTTCATTAGAAAAAGTACCCACAGGAAAATGAGAGCTACAAACTTGCCAAACGCTAAGCGAAACAGAGTGGAACATGTATGCAATACACACAACAGAAAGAAAAATCACGCAGCGAATCAGAAAAGATGGTGCTGGACCACTTTTCAAATCCGGAAAAACGGCACCAGTGCAGTGGTGGTGGTGGTGGTGGTGGTGGTGGTGGTGAGAGCGGTTTGGGGAGGGTGGGGAGGGTAGCACAAGGAGACAAAGGGAGAGAGTCAGGTAAAGCACCCGTGAACGAGGCGGTGCCAGGAAGGTACACCTACATCCATAGGGGACGTGTGAGCCAGGGTCCGGGCACCCATCGGAGCCAATCTCCCTAACACCTTCTGGAACAGTGGCCCCCGTCTCCTCTCCTGCAGGAAGGCCATCCTCATCATCCCAGGCCTCCTGGCTCTTCAGCTGGGTTTACCCTTACTGTTAGAATCTGGGAGAAGACTCGAAACACGGTTTTAATTCTGCAAGTGTGCTAAGTGTTTAGAAAGTGCCCAAGGGCCAGCAATTCTCATTCCCCGCCTCCTCTCTACAGACTGGGGAGCTCTCACTTCCGTGGCTACTTCACCTTCCAGGGGTGTTCACAGCCACAGGAGTGTCACACAATGAAAGACACCTCACTGGCCACTAAGCATCTCCGGGCCACAGAGTCTCATTCTTCCTTATTTCTCACAATACTCTGGAAGCTCTGAGCTCTACATAAAGGCTGGTTCAAGCAAGTCTTAGGGCTGACACTGGGGCTCAAGCAGAATCCTTGAGATGCTGCCTTAATACTGGTGTGGCCAGGACAACGTCTCAGAGAACATGTGCCTCGCTCAGCATTACCTCTGAGGACACCTAGAAACGTCACCCTAAAAACCACGCGCCAGCACGGGCCCAGGGGGGCTTTCTAGGAAGGCTGTAAGCTTCCCTCTCTCTTTGAGGATTTTATGAACTAAGAGAAAAAGGCAGTACTGAGAAACAGTACCATGAAGGGCTCCCTCTGCACACAGACACAGGTGCTGGTAAAGAAGGTGTGAGTGCTGTGCTGTAAAACTTCTCCTTCCGTATCCTGCTCAACAGCCCCCAGCAGATCCCAAACCAGCCAAACCTTCCATGTCACGTCCGACGCAGCACTCGGCTACACTCCCTCGCTCCATTTCCCTGGCTTCCCAGTTTCCTTCACTCCTAACTGGTCCATCAAAACAAGTCCCTCAAGTTTCTCCGGATCATCAGTGTATCTCCTGGGTGTCTCCAGTATGCACGAAGATGGCCACAACTCTTTCAAGTTTATGATTATTATTTTTTAGTCATCTCTACACCCAACGTGGGGCTCACACTCATGATCCCAAGATCTAGAGTCTCATGTTCCTCCGACGGAGCTAGCCGGGCGCCCCGAGGTTGCCAACAACTTTTACAATGACCTCTTCTCCTGTCTCAGACTACTCTGGCACACAGCTGCAAGGCCTTGCTGTGGAATCCCCTGGAAGTCGCCACCTCTTCTCAAAACCTGGAAAAATATCCTACTGTTCCAGTCCCAACTGGACAAGAGCTGTAAAAGCTGTGAAATGCCCCTCTCCATGAACTCCAAAGACCGCCTCCGCCACAAACCCCACAGACCCTCAAGTCAAGTCCAGACTGGCTGCGGCGCCCCAGCCTCTCGAGGAGCACAGACACACGCTCTTCTGCCCGCACCACCCTCCCGCCCCCGGCCGGCTCCACGCTCTCCTCTGCAACATTCACAAATGTTTCCTTCCCCCACCTGCAATGCTTCTTGAGGTGACTCTTCCTAAGAGAAATAGACCCTCCTGTCCATTAAAAAAAAAAAAAAAGCCTAATCCCACTTTCTATCTCCCTGGAGAACTTTCTTATGGTCTTCTAGCTTCCAAACACCACAGATACTCATACTGCCTGTGGAACTGAATTCTGGTCATCAGCAAAAGGAACAGAGGGAATAACAAGGAGCTATAAAGAAATACAGAGGGGAAGAGGAAAAGCGAATGAACTCTGTGACTATTCAACGTTAAGCCAAAATAGGATTCACAACAATAGTTCGATACCTTGAGAAACCTGCACGCGATTCACTGGCAGGGGCATGGGTCCATCTAGAATGGCAGAAAAAAATCAGTCATTTAAAATAATCCCTCATTTGGGAATAAAGAATTTTATCTTCAGAACTTCAAACTTAAAGGGAAAACCAGTCAACGGGTCTAAAAGCACTGTGCATTCTGAGGCCAGCACACCCTTAAAAGGGTCCCTCCACGAGAGACTCAATGTCCAAACACAGGCCAAGGCGGAAAGCCACGGCCACTACCACTGTTTCCAAAGCACGGGCTCCCTGAGAACATAATTCTACATGCTGGGAAATACACCCCAAACACAAAGGGAAGAACAAGCCAGCAGACTAAGGGCTGGAAGAAAGAAAAGTCCTTACTTGGAGGCCTCACAGGTTGTGCCTGCGGAATCCCAGGGGGCTGTGCCCCGGGGGCTGGTAGGGCCGGCTGGTTACCCAGGATGCCTTGTTTGTGTAAACGTGACCTCCGCTTTTCTTCTAGTTCTTTTTGTATCTTGTAAATTTTTTCTGCCAGTAAGTGATAGTATTCATCCTGAAGAGCGGTGATAACATTCAATGTTAGGCAGTGAAAGCTATAAAAACCCCAATGATCTGTGTTAGATGTTCTAACAACCTAATGAACTTTTACATTAGGGACACGGGCAAAGGTAAGCATTCCGCGCTTCTGGTCCGTTTTGTAGTCCCGAGTAAGTTCTAGTCCTGACGGAGATTCCAACTCACAACCCCGAGATCAAGGGTCACGTGCCCTACCAGCTGAGCCAGCCAGGAGCCCCCAGCATCCAGCACTTCTAACCGATACACCTAAGGCCCAACTTCATGGTGAACACCTCGTGACATGACAGGACTTATCAGGCAGGGGGTCCTAACTGAACGCACGTCACATTTCATTCCACAGTCGAATCACTTCTTGGATATTCGACACCGGCAGTGACACAGTATGAGCGTTATAAAGAGTGCTCACTGTGGAGCACATCCAAGGATAAAACACAACTCTCCATGCCCCGGTCACCACTGTAGCGGTGACATCTGTAGTCAAACAAGAGAGCGGTACAGGGGTTTCAGGTCCTGTCTGGGATGTCTCTCTGGTCAGCATCCCCGAGGTGATGAGTCTACCTGACTGGCAGATTCCCCTATTTCCAGACAATGAGCCGGACAGATGCAGTTCTATCTACTGTAGGTGCTGTGCGGCTGGAACACGTATGGCACCCTACCCTGCTGTTGGCGGACTCATACATGTCCCCCTCCACTTTCTTAGCATAGGCCACCAGGTTCTCCATGCGGCGATCCTTCAGGGCTGCCGGGTCAGGGGTTGGGAAGATGGCTTGGACCCTGGAAAGACAACACACTCCGTCAACAGACTTTCGGTATACCATCAGTACCTTGTTATTTTATACAACTGTTTCTCACAAACAAGTTTCACTAAAAAGAGAAAGGCAAACAAAACCACTCCAAGGGAATCAGACTGACCCACTTCACCTCTGATTTAACTTAACTAGCCTGAGAAAGTGAACTGCTGACTTCCTCTCTGTTACCACAATGTATGGTGGCACTATCGTGTCCTCTGTATTCACCAGGCTCAAACTCCCCCGATTCTCCGGGGCCTCCATGATTATAATCTTGAGCCCTAAAACAAGGCAAAGCTTCTGAACTAATCCCAGCTCCCCGTTGCATGCCAGAGCTCAGAGGACAGAAGGTCTGGCCACACTGGGAGTCCCGACCTCTGCGACGTGGGTCACAGCACAGGCCCTGCTGCAGGGACTGCAATTCTGTGGCCTGCCGGCAGTGGCTGTGGCTCCCTAAATAAGCATGCGACCCTCTTCAGCTGCTAGGGCACTGTCCGTCACCTGGGGCCCAGGGGACGGCTCAGGAATTAAATCGGACATCAGTGAAACTGCACAGCTGTCGCACTGCTGTCAGCCATGACATGTTCCCGTCATATGTGAACACGGGTGAGGCGGGCACATACAGTTTATGCACTAGGTGGCTCCGCAGGTCCTGAGTGACATGTTCGTGCCAGCTTTTCCGCACGCCGGTGCTGGAAGGAGGTGCCGCTGTGGGTATAGTGCTGAGGGTCCCGAGGTTTGCAGAGCCTGAGCCGTCGTTCATCAGTGGGCTGGGGAAAAACAAGACACTCAGTCCACCTAGCCAAGTGACACACATGTGCCTCATTTACATGAGGTTTTTCAACCACATGTGACATTTAGCAACCCCCTGCCCCCTGCCATTTAAGCTATCTTCACCGTCACCCATTTAGAAAGAACCCCAATTTTGTGATTCCCAACCCACTTGCGTGTGCGACCGTCGCTCAGAGAGGAGCCGACTGAAACGGGGGTCTTACTTTGTGGCCCCGAGGGAAGTTGGAAGAGCTGATTCTGAAATCAAGTTTGGCGGCTGCTGATCTGTTGTTATTCCTCCTGCTGGAATGTTCATTGGGTTATTTCCTTTAAAGACAGAAAGAAATCCACCAAGTCGTAAATTATAATCCACCCCTCACAGTTCCGGTAACAGGTCAAATCACCATGTAAGTAAGTCATTCTCCTGAGTTATGACCATAACCACTACGGCAGGAACTCTGGAAGCTGTTTCTCCGGTAACAGCCATCAACTTGAACCAGTTCCGCGGCAGTCTCCTCCTCACTGCATTTTAAGTAACCCAGATGAGGCGTGCGTGGAGGCCGGCGGGCGCCCTAGGTGTGCTCTAGGGCTGTGACGCAAATTATAAGCGATCCCCTCCGAGCCTCAGACTTTTACGCCGGCTTCATTAACACCGTGCCCTGAACAACTAAACTGACCTGTGTCACACAGATTTGGGTCAACTTTTCTTCTATCAGAAAATAAAATCAAAGAAGTAATGTGCACGTGAAAACACTTGTGTACAGGGTTCCCATTAAAGTAAGAAAAAGTTGACAGAGGTTACAGGTCTTGTCCCAAATTATATCCTCAAGTAGGAGTGGAGTCACTTTAGAACTCAAGTCTGAGGGCTCCAACCCAGTCTCCTGGCCGGGAGAAGTTAGTGTGCATTAGGGCAGTTGGGTCCCCCCCCCCGCCCCCCGCCAAAAGCAATAAATGAGTTGTTTTTAATCATCATTCTTAAGGTTAAAAGACTTACTCTATTAGGAAAACAATAAAACTAACACAACCATCTTGACCTGACGGACCTAACTGCTTGGCTTAAGCCTGACTTTAAGAGCAATGTGTCAATTTACAGAGAAATGCTAAGAAAACAGTATGCAAACACGGCAAAAACTGTGGAGATACCCCGGCCAATGAGCTGACATGACACCAGGAAACACCATTACGGGGAGAGAGGCCGGGACGGGAGGTGCTGGGGGACACTCCCGGCAACCTGCCCACGTCTGGGCCGGTCACCTCGCACTGTGGGTGGGGGGAGCCGGCAGACCAGGTACAGGCTCCCCCTCAGGAGGGCACTCTAACAGGTGGGACTCGGCATTGTGAGCCACTGAATGCCCTTCGTGAAAACCGTCCCGACAGGAGCGGCACGGCCATCAAATGTCGGCTCCTGTGCAAATGCTTTTCTTCTCACAAGCCTGTCACATCTTCCTTGCACTCATACTTCAGCCTTTCCCCGGAAGTTTTCTATTTCAAGGATTTAAAAGATATCATCATCATAATTTATATGTATATTGATTTGAATTTAAAGTAAAAACAGTAACTGAAAACAGCCGCAGTAACTGAAAACAGTAACTGAAAACAGCCGGACGAACGAGCTCTCGAGAGTCCCTTTACCTACCCAGGGGGTTGAGAGTCCTCATCTGCTGGTGACTTTGAGGCTGTGCTGGTTGCTGGCCGGGAACCTGAGGCTGCAGCTGCGTCTGGGGCTGGTTCAGGTAGGGGAGACCAAGGGCAGCATACGCGCGCTGCATGGAGCTGGGGTCTATGGGATTCGGGTTACTCAGCGAAGCGGCGTTCTGCTGGCCTGTGCCGACAGAACCGATCGTGTTCTGAATCCCACTAGCTGGAGACCCCAGGATGGCTAGAAGAACAAACAGACACACAAACAAGAAAGGTAAGTAAAAAGGAGAAGGCCACACGTGACTGAAAAACTACCGAGAAGCAAGTACAATTGTATCGAGAGACTATCCACCCGTGTCCCGAGGCAACAAAACACGGCTACCGAGGAAGGAGCTGTGCAGACAAAGGGACCCTCGTCTAGTCATGTATTCTGCACAGCAGCAGTTGGGGAGCAACAAGATCCAGAAAAGCCAAGCTTCTTTCTATGTCAGAAGGCAACAGCCCACAGAATCAGAGCTCCCTTAAGGACAATCACATATGAAATCTAGACGCTCAGAAGTCTGTGCCAGGGGGAGTAGCAAACGCGTTGTCTACAAGAGACAGTGTTCTGATTGGGGGCGGTGTGGGCAGCTCATCTGCCACCACGGACATGACCTAAGGGGGGCCTCTGTGGCTGCCACTCTCCCTGGGGTCCTGCACTGCTCACCTGCACGGGTACAGAGGATGAAACAAGGAGCAGAGTGATACCCAGTTGGTCAGTTTTGTTACTCATTTTAATAACTCTATGACAAAATCTATCTCATGACAAAATCGCAATTCCTCACAACCTATGGGCACAGTGGCACTAACCCACACGTCTTTCCTACGGCTTCCCATGCAGGAAGGCCCCCTACTGAGCGGTCTGGCTATCTAAAGATGCTGAAGAAAAAACTGTATCGACTGACTGACGTAGCCAAAAAGAACGGGTGGGACGAGGCTTGGTGGATTTGCATTTCCCCAGGTGTCACCTCAGCACCACTGAGGACGGCACAGCCTCAGCTTCCACCACCTGGCCTAGTGACGGCAGGGCATCCCCTCTGTGTACTCCATGTATCGGGCCGATCCCAAAAGGCCGAAGAAAAATCTGTGGCCACACAGAGAACCCCATTCCCAAGGACTTCAGAGTTAACAGAGAGGACCCCAAATTTGCATCTCCTTGGCCCCTTGGAGTTCAATTCATCCCTCTGTCCGTCCACCCCAATCTCCACATTTGGTGGGCACTTGCCATAAGGCAGAAGTTTTACGCGCTACTATCTATTCTTATTCTTAAGATTTCCCTTCTTTCCAACTCCTCCCAACTTTGGTCACGTTATACACAGTAGCTTATAACTGATACTATAACATATGATCTTTGATACATTAAGCAATACCACAAAGGTCTCCTTTCATATTGAGACCATTGCGTGTAACAATATTCTCACATTCAACCATCAGTGCAACCGATGTGTAACATAAGCACAGTGTAACATAACACTGTGTAACAGTGTAACACAGTGTAACATAAACAACTCACATTACTTATCAGAGTATTTTAATTAAACCTAAACGTGTAAGAAAAAAGATCTTGGTAATTACATATTCCATACTATTAACTTTTCTAATAAAGACATTCAGATCTCAAACTCATTAACACTCATTAGACAAAATCACGCACACCAAGCACCTCATTATTGTAAGTGAGAAGCGATTCCCAAGGTACACTTTATGACAAGCGTGCAGCCCAAGTCATGTATGATTTCTCCAGAAGTATTTTCTCTAATAGTTAATACTCCCCCAAACGTTCAACACGTGCCCACCATATTCCTAAAACTGACCACGCCAAATCAAAGACCTCTGATGTTACAAGGAAAGTAATCCTGGGAGGATGATGAATTGTTCTCTCACCCAGGGGTAAAGAACAGACCCAGACTGCATTTGCTGCACACAGGGATGAACTGCGGAGAGGAACTAAAAGAAAGACGCTATCCACGTGGCCTCCGTTTCAGGGTGAAAAACCAGCGACTTCTTCCTTCTCTTTTCCACTCTCATCCATCAGGCCCCAAATGCCATCCCTTCCCCCAAAATGCCTCCTCCCCCCAACCTTAGGGTGAATGCCACTCGCTAGGCAAAGGCCATTTATGGGGAAGCCAGAACCTCCCACGGAAGCTGCTGACACGGTCACTGTATTTTGTGTTTGTTAATAGCATTTATTTTCTACGTGTAAACACTATTGTATTTTCTTATTAAACAAAAATACAGTATCTGTCAGAAGACAAGTAAGCATCTGGTAGCTGACAATCCTAACAATCCAGAGGCATGGAAAAGAAAGCATAAATAAGTAAAAAAAAAAAAAAAAAGGTCTCCGACATGTAAGCATGGTCCAATTTGAGTCCAAATGCTGTTATGGTGGGACACAAATACCTCAGGGTAACGGAATGCACACATTTACTAGAGGAGTCGTGACTGGCTGAAAGAGGTGTCACCAGGTAAAAGTGACCATAAACCCCATTCTGTGAGCTCAAGGCACTACCACCCCTGCCAGAAGTTCTCCTCATCTGTCGGGCGGCAGCAAGGCTTCCTGGAACTTGCACAACGCCTCCCGGGTCTCTGCTTCTTTGTGGGCACTCGCTCACTGCACAGAGGGTGCATGTGGACTGTGTGGGGCGCCCTGCTAGGCTCCAGGACGCGAGCACCAAGTCTGCACTCACAAAGAGAGAACAGATTAACCTAATAATCCGCTAAGGAACGGGAAACGGCAGCTCTGGACCCTGGAGCAGAGAAACCACACGCGTCTTCCCCGAGCCCGTCCACTCCCCGGAGGCAGTGTGCTCACAAAGCCCAGCACAAAGCCCCAGAAAGGCCCTAGCGGAGTCCGGAGTTGGGGGCACGGCGGCAGGGTGGCGGAGCGACGGCCGTCCGAGGGCCCTGCCAGTGCCGCGGGCCTTGGGACTGAGCCAAAGTCAGGAGCGCCAAAAGCAGCGACGCCTCGTTTATCGGCACGAGGGAGAACGAGGCCTTCCACGTTGATCCCCGTCACACATTACTGACGGCTACCTCTTTAAATGTCCAAACCTCGTGCTCTTTTCCCCATTTGTACATCTTCCTTCCTTTCTCGGAGCCCAATGCTGTATTTCACGCGCGATCCGCCACTTCGCACGGTGTCTCAGCACCTGAGTGTGGCTCTCCTGCCGGCAGCACGTCTAAAAAACCCCCCCTCACCTCCACTGCCCCAGCTAACCTGGGCGCCCACGACCTAGGAAATAAACGGCCACATTCTACAGTGGGCTCTTTTGAGGACCCGCCTGCCACTTCTTAAGTAGGTCCTCCCCCAGAGGGAGGCAGTCCTCCCCCAGAGGGAACAGAAGACCGTTCCAATGACCGGTCCCACATAGGGCACGCGGCGGACATTCAAGTCCCCGGTCATTCTCAGCAAAACTCAACTCAATCTGAAAATCCAGGGAAAACCGACACAAATCAAACTCCAAAGCTTTGTCGGCGTGGTGGGAAATACACCACAAAGCACGTAAAGCAGCTACTGCTTAGATTTCTACGGAAAACGTCGTGCTGGAATTTACTCAGACCTGCAGACGTCTCCGCAGAGCGGTTCCTAGGCCACGGTGCCTTCCAGGTGTCGTGTGTACCGGAACGGCCTTCCTCTCACGCTTTTTTTTTTTTTTTAAAGGAATCTCTACACCCAACGTGAGGCTCGAACTCACAACCTCAAGAGTCACATGTTCTACAGACTGAGCCTGCCAGGCACCCCTCCGGCATCCTCCCATGCGTGGTACAGGGCGGGACAACACAACACCAGAGCCCCAGGGCCAGACCTCTGGCACGGCCACCACCCGGCAACAACACAAAAGCCTCTGCAACACGTTTCCTTCGGAAGCCAAATGACTGAGAAGGGGCACACTGTGTTCAAAAGAGCAAGGTAAAAACTGCTCTGATGAAATACATCACCAGGCGGCTGGGTACTTCAATCAGGGGCGAGCAAGCCCACTGCTCTGCCCCTACAGCCACTCCGGTCCCACCGCCCCCCCTCTGCTCTCCAGCCCAACCGCCGTCTGTCAAAAGAGGTATCGGAGAATCTTGAAAGAGCTCTCAGGTGGAACAAGGGCCTGTTCAACCACCACTTACTGAGCACGGAGCAGGCTGCTCCATGAGGAAAGGTTTTAAAGAGGCAGATCTGGACGCGATACCAGGAAGGAAGGCTTCTCATGATCAGAAGTGCTTCAAATGGGAACAAACAGCCAGACCAAGTAGTGAGTGTCAAGCCAGTGGAGGTATTCAAGGAACAGGCCAGAGGACTACGGACTTAGACACTCTCAGTCCTCACACTGCGGCTCGGCCCGCGTCTAAGGCAACTGTGGGCAGTGAGCCAGTTTGGTTTGGCTCTGAGGCTGGTCCTGTCCCATCTCTTCTGACAGTCCCCGTGGGATTCTGAGTGGGGAACCCCATGATTTCCCCAGGGAAAGACTCGAAACTTCTCAAGAGCTCCAGGACAGATAGACACCCAGCCCTTCAAGGCATGCAGGGCAGCACATCTCGGCTGTTAATGCAAATACTAATCATCTAGCAATTTGTTAAAATGCAGATTTTAATACGGGAGGTGTGGGATGGCCCAAGTTCCTGCAGTTCTAACTGGCCGGCCCGCAGTGCCTGTGCAGCCTGGTCGGAGGACTGTACCGCGTGGGGAGCAGGAACCGCAAGGATGAGGCGCCAGGAGTTTAAACAGGGAATTCGGTCGTGTGTCCACACAGCCCCAGTCCTCCGTGCAACCTGTGCACTGGAATTCATTGTAAGTCAGATGCCAGGACTGACATTAGATATACACCTGGAAAACTCCTAATTATTCCATAAAATCTGATTACCTCTATAAGGGAGGGATAACAGCTCAAGATCGGTGATGACACAACGTCTGGAAAACAACTCAAAGAAAAATCAAAACAAAATCTCGACAGAGGCCAAAAAGGCAACCAATGGTCTGGGACGGCTCCACAGAGGATGCCGGCAGATCCTGCCAACAGAGACGTCGATGGAAGAAGCGGGCAGCGGGCTGCGCGAGCGTCTGGGAGCAACCTGCCCGAAAGCGTGGCTGTGGCAGATGCGCCTGGGTCTCAGGCAGCACCCGGGGGCCCTGACCTCTCGCCACAAACACCCCTCTCTCCCCGAATCACCTGGCCTGCACGGGAAACTCGGGAGTCCACGCTGATTGTGCTGATGCCACGTGTGCCGTCTAGACTGTCCTTCCACCGCTATTCTGCGGACACTGGGCTCCACGAAGCCCCGCCTTCCACACACGCTGACCCTCCCCTCCAGGACTGCCGGGACCACCGACCCCGCCCGACCTCGCTCCTTCCTGGGTGCGACTGTCATGTCATTTTAGCGGATATATTCCACTCTGGACCCTGACTTTGAGCTGTCGGAGGGCTGGATCCACATTTCCTCTCTACTGCCCGACGCCGATGTGCACGCGCCATGAGCACAATTTGCTTTAGGACAGGAGAAACAACAAACGTTTGTAGAAAACACACTGCTGACAATCTCTCACTCGCCACATCAACTCTTCCGCCCTCAGAAAACCACAGGGCTAGAGAGAGCCCAAAGAACACACTCAGGGCTGAAACCTGAAGTGAAGTACTTCAAACTTTCTTAAATGAGTGCTTTCATTTCTTTTACAAAAAAAAATCACCAGAACCTTGCATAAAGTTGATGTAAATACTCCCGGTGACTTTATGCTACAAAATCACCGAGGTGACACCTCCCGTTATGACTGGTAGAAACGCTGTGGTTGACCACTTCAGAGCACGCGCTGAATCAATTGTCACAACATTCAGGCAGTTACAAGGATGTTGAAAAAAGAACCCACATGCATTTCTTTAAAAAGAAAAAAAAAACCACACAAGCGTTTCTTAAAAAGAGAAATCACAAAAGTTTAACATTGTCATGGCAACACATACTAAAAATAAAAGGTCCCAGAAAAGCCACACCCCCAAATCAGAACTTCAGAATGAAGTCCTCACTTATTCGTGGAATAATTACTTCGGCACTTAAAAACCCTATTACTGAAACGTGTCCTAAAACACCAGAAAGTGTAACCACCACTATATACTAGTTAAAAAAAAAAAAACAGTTTTACACTGACTTTGAGGAAAAAGCGGCCTATTCCAGTAGAACTCCTGTCCCAAGTACACAGTTCTGAAAGCCCCAGATTGCTGGAACTTCGCTTCACGTAGGAGAGATCCCTGAAAACTGGGTGTGAATTCCCACTGTGGTCAATCAAAGACAAATTTAACTGATTCAGAAAAGTGCCTTTTAAAGGGAACTAAGCACGAGTCCTTGCGCAGGGAGGGAAGCGGACGGGCCCACAGGTGAAGCCCGTCCCACGCCGGGGCCGCCCTCTGGGGTGGGTGGGAGGGGGACGCGGGGGCCTCCCCATGTGGCACCCACGGCACCCTTAGGGACGAAGCGCTGGCCAGCGCGCCCTATGCCCCAAGGAAACGACCAGAGACACGGCAGCACAGGCTGCCCAGGCAGCAGCGGGGCGTCGAGGAAGACGATCAAGAAGAACGAGAGCGATGGACGCGCAAACAAGATGGCGCAGACGAGATGGAGGAAGATGTGCGAGACTGGGCGGTGCCGCGGGTCCCTGGAGCGGCCCCGGCCCGAGGGGCGACCCGACACTGGAGGGCACGTCCTAGCTGTCCAAACGGAGGGACACACCCAAAGACCACAAGGTTACCTCTGAAATGACAGGGAAGGGCTTAAAGCGGACAAGAGATGCTCATCCTCTCGCCGCTCTGGTGCCCACGGACGGCAGGGGCCCGGGAGCCACCACTCAGGCCTCCTGAGCAGGGACCGGCGCTAGGCCGACCGGCTAAGGGCTACACAGAAGGCTCGAGAGACGACAGAACGATGGGGATGGTCAGGATGCGGCCAGTCCTGGGGCAGAGACTCAATCGGTGTCGAATAAGCTGTTAGTTACACAAACAGGTCTGGGCACTGCCTCTGCGCGGAGGAGGGAAAACCTCGAGGGTGCCTCCCTGACCCTGCCTACCTGGCTCATCTAGAACACAGCTCTCTCTAGACTCACTTCAGGACAAGGCGTTTCCAATTCCAAAGTAAGCGTCCCCTCTCTCTCCCCGCCCCCTGAAGTCACTGCCACTACAGTGACGCGACCTTCAAACGCTCAGAAACTGAGTGTCTGTCAAGGCATGGGAAGGCTGGTCAGGTCCTCTCTGTGATCACAGCGCCCCTCCTCCTGGCACTGCTCCGCTGCTGCCGACTCTAGTGCGGTGCTAGTGCGCGTGTGCCGGGGGCCGGGACGGAATTCCAAAATGGCCGTGCGCACCGTGCACACCGCGGGTCCGTCTCTCGCTAAGCTCAGCTTCCCCCTGGCGTCACTGTGCCGCTCCACGTCCGTATCTCTGCTCGCCACTACCCTTGGCGCTAGTGATTTCTGCCCTGCTTCCTGCCTTCTCTCCCGCACTCTCTTTAGAAAGAGCTGTTCTCACCTCCGAGCTTCTCTATCCCCAATGCTCACTTACTTTGTTGGTTTCGCTTGTCACTGGCATTTTTCAAAGGGAGGCAAACAGGACAGTCATGTCGTGTGCAGTTCTTCCAATGAGAGATGATTTGTCGTGAAGATGCACAATGGGCAACTATGACCAGAAAAACAACGAGATGTTATTTTTCTATCCAGATCGTCACACTTTCAATTACACCTAAATTATAATGCCAGATTCCATAAGAAAATGGTAACATGTGTAACCATAACACAGTACAGGCAGTCCTCAACTTACAAACAGGAAGTTTTCCAAAAGTTTGTAAGTCAACTGTTGAGAATTCTGAACAAAAGTTTCCCATAGAAGCAATGCCATGAATGATGGTGAGTAAGATTCAGCCCACAAAACAAAAACTATCTGACCTGAAATACCGAACGGTTGGAATGAAAGGTAGGACAAATAATAATTATGTCGTGTCACTATTGAAAATAAAATTTCTACGTTATGTTGAAGGATGAAACCATCTAAATAAATACTGCAGTTCAAGAAATACATACAGAGAAGCACATGAGAAGTCTGTGGAGATTCTAAAGTGGACGCCGGTCACTTCTCTAAGTACTTGAGTGAGTGACGGAACCTAGTGGTTACTCTCAGTCTTGATTTTCACTCTGTACTAAGGCACTGTGATTTCTTTCTAAAGACCCAGCATGACCCGCCCCTACTTCTCCATCAGGATCAGGGTTATGCTGGGGGCTCACATATGTCACCAAGGGAGAGAGGGAGGTCAGGGAGACATTCTCCCTAAGGTTTAGGAGCACAAGTAAGAAGATAGAGAGGAGGATAAAGACGAAAGAAAGCACAGTTGTTAGTAAGAAACACTTTCCTCTGCAGACTCAAGGTGTCCGCCATAGAAGAGGGGGAAGGGAGCACAGGACACGCCTGAATCACCCCCTTCTCGAGGAGAAGGCAGGAGGGGGCAGGGATGATACGGTGCACACGGTTTCCCATGTCACGGATCGTCACCTAGGACGACTCGGCTGGTATCCTGATCGGCCTCAAGACGAAAGGGCAGAGGAGCGAGGCGGGGGCCCCGCGGCCAGAACACATGAAACAGCTGCAAGACCGATGCTCGAGGTTCAGGGAAGGTGTGCGTGCGTGCCTGTGCCGCGCCGCCCGAAGAAAACCGGAGCTAGACACGTATGATGAAGACAGGGCTCAAGAAGTGACCAATGTCTTCCGTGACAGAGGAAGAAGAAAGAGAACAGAGGCAGGGCACAGCCTGGCCCAGTAAAAGCGCACAGAATCTTAGGAAACGAAACCGCCGTCGTCCCAAGCAGGTAAGCGTCCCAGCGGCACGTGACGGGCTGGTACGTGGGGACGTAGGTTCTAGGAACCTTATTCACGAGAGAGCTACTGAAGGACACTACAGACAAATTTCATCCTAAGCCATGCCACCAGGATTTCAGAAAACAGCACTTACCTTGACAGGCTTTCCCAGCCTGACAGTGTGTCATGTGATTCAAAACATTCTTCATGGTTCGGCAATGCGGGAGAGAGCAGGCCCGAACTTCTCCGTTCGCTTGTTCTCGTCTCTGACACTTGTGAGCATGAAGCAGTAGAACCAGCTGCTGCTGTATCAGTTTGCGCTTTTCAGGATCTGCAGTGGGGCCTGCTGTGATCGCTTGTGTGGGTACAATTCCCACTGAAGTCTGCATCTGAGACTAAAATAAAACAAATTAATAAAGATACTTTAATAAGCTTCCAGAGGCCTAACTCATGTTCACTGTTTTTCAAACTCATGTTAAAGCTGATGGACCACAGTGGCCACAGAGAGAAGGGGGCTGGCGTGGTTTTCTTCAACTCATCAGCAATTTTAAGGAAGGTCCAGGAGCACAGAAATAAACCAAACCAACTCAGAGGGCTGATTACAGTTCACTTGTGGGGCACCAGGGGGGCTCAGTTGGTTAAGCAGCTGACTCTTGATTTCAGCTCTGGTCACGATCTCACGATTCCGGGGAGAGAGAGCCCTTTATCTGGCTCTGTGCTGACAGCACAGAGCCTGCTTGGGACCCGTTCTCTTTTTCTCTGCTCCTCCCTGCTTGCACACGTGTGTTCTTTTTCTCTCTTAAAAAAGTAAATAACATTTGAAAAAATACAAATAAAACTAAAGTTCACTCATGTGCGAGCACCTCGGAGCAAGAAAACGACACCTGTTCTTTAACTGCAGTAACCTAAAGCCCAGCTTATTCTACGACCTACTCAAGTGCAGGAGAAGCTGTGGACTGGCTTAGCTCGAACCATAGGAAACTGCCGTTTTCATAGGCCCAGTGGCCCAAGGCTGGCAATTTCAAACGGTTCAACCTAATTAAGGGGACTGTCAAGGCCTGACCAATCACAGCCCAATGCAAATATCCAATACACCAGAAGCACCGGAGCCAGTGTGGATTTCATTATCTTGTGACCAGAAGGACGCCCTCACTCGTTACCTCTCCTCAGAGAATAATAGGACACTTAACGTGACCCTGTGGTACAAGTGGTAATGCTCGTGAAATGCTTTGCCTTCTATTAAAATTTCAACGGACAATTTTTCTGACAATTGTTTCAAAAAGTGTCTGATGATCTGTGAATGTACAGAAACAGAGTTTAATTGCTTTCATCCTTGCAAACTAACAAGCCAGGGCGACCACTCCTCTCGACTGCAAAGCAAAGGGAAAAGGGGGCCCAAGGAGCCTTTTTACTCTTTGCAGATGGCCAATGCCCTTCAGACAAACTGCATGACACTCACGAAGCGAGAGGAATGGGACACTCCTAATATGCAACAACAGAGTCCACAGTACAGGCGCTGCTCACCTTCTCTCGTGCAGGGACCCGGAAGGGCTCCCAGCTCCGTCTCCCAACACCCCCTGCCTCCCCTAAACCACACCACCTCTCGCACTTTTCAAATTAAGAGTCAAAACTATCTATTTGTTGGGGCGACTGGGTGACTCAGTCAGTTAAGTGTCTGACTCTTGATTTCAGCTCAGGTCAGGATCTCACAGTTCAAGGGATCAGCCCCACGGCGGGCTCTGCACTGACAGCACAGAGTCGGCTTGGATTCTCTCTCTCCCTCTCTCTCTGCCCCTCGCCCACTTGCACTCTCTCTCTCTCTCAAAATAAATACATAAACATTAAAAAAAGCTACTTGCAATTAGGAGAAAAAAACTATACAAATATTTTTTAATGAACCAAAGCTCATTTTTAAAAACTTACAGGGTTTTCTGTTTGGGTTTTATAAGAACTCAGAAAATAAGTACGTAGAAAAGCCTCAGAAGCACAACTCCTGGAAGCCTAACTATGGTCTAAAGAAAAAGCAAAGTCCCACCTGAGAGGTTGAGCATCCTGACTGGAGAAGCATTTAACTTGTAAGAGAAAAGAACTTCTCTTCCTTATGTTTATTTTTTTGCTGGTTATAAAAGTATTATATACATGCTGCAGAAAATGTGAACAGCAACAGAGTTATGAAGGAAATAATTAACACTTGAAATCCCAATATCCAGGAGTCCACTACTTAACAGTGGATAGGTTTTGCTTCTTCCAGTCTTTTCATCCATGTATACGCATATGTACGAACCATAATCGATAGTCTTGTCCCCTCCCCCACCCACACACAATCACACACACGACTTGGTGTCTACTCCAGGCTCTGTCCCATATCATTGTTTCATACGATATGACAGCATGATTTGTAATGAGCATACGGCTATACATTTATCCAATCTCCCACTGCTCAACATAAACCGTACCCTCACCCTTTTCTTGCAACTTAAATACAGCTTTGATAAATAGCCTCTGACTATGCCCCCAGCAACATTCAGTACTGATGTGAAAACTCTCCTCCTCGATCAGCTTACTCCCCCAGAGAGAAAGCCCAACCAGAAATCAACAGGAGTGGACAAATGCAAGAGGACCCTTGTTTAGGCCTCTCTCGTGCATTTATTACCAAAATTTCAAATATACAGTGAAGTAGACCAGTAAGGATACCATTATACACCTAACAAAAGGAACGATGCTTTAATACCCGTTAATACTTAGTTCATGTGCAAATTTCTCCAGTTGTCCCCAAAACACCTTTTAGAGTTGGTTTGCACAGATCAGGACCCGATTAAGGCCCATGCTCCATATTTGGTGGTGGTTGTTAAGGTTCTTCATCTACTGCCTCCCTCCCCCTTTTATTTTTTCATGATGCTGACTTATTGAAGAGACCACGTCAGTTGTCCTGCTATTTCCTAACATGCGGGGCGCCTGTACGGCTCAGTAGGTGGAGAGCCTGACTCTTGACTTCAGCTCGGGTCATATCTCATGCTTTCTGAGAATGAGCCCTACGTCAAGCTTTGCACTGATGGTGCAGAGCCTGCTTGGAATTTTCCCTCTCACCCTCTCTCCAAATAAATAAACCAACTTAAAAAAAAAAAAAAAAAAAAAAAAAGAACTGAGATGTAGTGACGTGATGCTCAACATCTTTAGAAAAAAATAAAAATATAAAATACAGAAATGCTACATACAAAGATATAAATCGTATAAAAGTCAGGTAAAACTCCTAACCTTACATTTAAATTATAAACAGACTGCTTTTTGAAAGGAGAGGCATGGGCTCAGTCAATTTAAGCATTGACTTACTTGACTCAGGTCATGATCTGTGGTTTGAGGGATTCAGGCACTTTTCTTTGTCGGGTTTCGCCTGACAGCTTGACCTGGAGAACTGCCCAGTTCTGTGTCCCTCTCTCTCTCCTGACCACCTCCCTGTTTACATTGCTCTGCTACTCCTCAAAACCCTACCAACACTACAAAGAAATAAATAAATAAATAAATAAATAAATAAATAAACAAACAAACATACTGCTTTTTAAGGTTACTAAAAATTAACGCACTGTGTCTCATTTGGGATGTTCTTCAGCATGTTTTGAACTATACTGACCTTACTTTGAAAGCCCACCACGTCGAAAGAGCATGGATGCAAAGTGCAAGGCGCACGTGTGTCAGCAGATGCCTAACGAGCTCTACACATTGCAGACAGGGTCCTGGACAAAATGGAACAGAAGACCCATCTCGGGTGCCTGTGCTGGCCGTCCCGAGGACTGCACACACCTGCGCAGGGCTAGTCCAGGGAGCGAGGCGTGTGCAAACGCAGGACACACTTCAGCACCTCCATTCGCAGACCGACGTCTGAGAGGACGAAGGAGCTACACAAACTGCAAGTTTCCCGAAATCTGTCAGAAACGCCCGTCAGGGGCTACCGACGACTTCTCTGCTCGGTGCTCCCCGCCCAGGCGGGCCGGGAAGTGAAGGAAAGTGCTCAGGCGAGAACCTCCCTTTAAACAAAAATCACTGCCATGTTGTAAGTTCGCTCAGAAGGAGCGAATACGTTTTATGTACTTTTGCTTCTGTAACAGCCAAGAAAATTCTGAAAAACAGTAAAAATACAGGGAGAACCCATCTTGCCAGACACCAGAGGTACAGAGCTACAAAAGACACGTGTACACACGAAATGAGCAGACAGATCATCAGGTGTTGTCTCAAACTGGACAGCGATGGCAGCAATCTGTGACCCCTGCACCAACCTACATATAAAAATCAGCTCCAGGTGGATTACAGTGAACACAGATTAAAGGTGATAAAAGTACTAGAAAAAAATAAAGAATATTTTTAGAATGATGGGAAGAAAAAGTGAACACAAACAATAAAGTTTAAGTGAAAAAACTAAGGAGAAAAAAATAGTTTTTTTTAGAAGCAGAAATAGTCAAAAGACAGGACCACTGCCAAAACTGATGACATGTTGTCAAACTGTTGTCCAGAAAGGTTGTGGCATTTGTTATCCTAGAAAGAGCTCTGAGGAGGAAACAATTTAAAAAGATAACTACTCCGCTAAAAAGTTTGGGGGAAAAATGTACTGGCACCTTAACCGAGGACACACGAGTAAACAGCAAACGTAAAACATGTCCTGTGCCTCAGTGCCAGGACCCCTGGACAGACTCAAGAGTCTGCCCAACCACTAGTGTGAAGAGGGCAGGCCTGGACACTCACACGCAGAAGTGCCAAGGTGGGCCTTTCTCACGTCATACTCAAATATTAACTCAAAATGAACCGAAGTCCTAACAGTGAGCACTGAAACCACAAAACTCTTAGCGAAATTGTAAGAGATTTTCATGACCTTGGATTAGGCAGTGAGTTCTTAGATATGCCACCAAAAGCACGAACAATAGCCAACAACAAAGATAAACTGAATGTCATTAAAATTAAAAACGGTTCTGCTTCAAAGGCCACCCATGAGAAAGTCAAAGGACAGCCCAAAGAATGGGAGAAAATCATAGATATGATGGGGACTTGCATCTAAAACACACCAAGAACGTTCACAACTCCATGATAAAAAGACAAATAATCTAATTTAAAGATGGGCATAGGACCTGACTGCTTCTCCAAAGAAGATATACAAATGATCAATAAACACATGAATAGATGCTCAACATCATCAGTCATCAGCGCCATTAGCCACCAGGGAAACAGAAATCAGAACCACAATGAAATACAACTTCACAACCCCAGCAGGATGGCTACAATCAATGATGACAGACAGACAGACAGACAGACAGAAAGAGACAGAACACGTGTTGGTGAGCCTGTGGAAAACTGCACCGTGGAACCACTGTGGAGAACAGTCTGGCAGCTCGTCGGAAAGTTAACCTAG